GTCGTTCTAGCCATGTCCGGTCGAAAAATAAATTTTTGACATTTTTCCGAAAATTGAAAATTTTATAAGGGGTTACATCATTAAAATTGCCAAAATTTGACAAAAAATTGAATTTTTTAAATTTGAAAACTGAGTATGCAGCTTTGTTAATCTACTAAAAACTAGCATAGAACAGCTTTCCGAATTAAAATTAATGATTGTTTGGCTTAGTTATGAGTTTTTTTAAACTATGATTTTTCGGAAAAATGGTCCGTTTTTCTACCTTTTTGCGGGTTCTTATGATTTTAGTCAACAACTGACAGTAGCGCCAACAAACGCAGTATGCAGATTTGTTAGTACAAGAAAAACTAGCACAGAAAAGCTTTCCGAATCAAAATTAATGCTATTTTGGCTTAATTATGATGTTTGGAAAACTCGGATTATTTAAGAAAATTGTCTGTTTTTATACCTTTTCGCAGAGTATAGCTTCAGTCAGAAGATTAAAACGCAGTGAAGGAGTCATTTCCGACCCTATAAACCATATATATTCTTGACCAGCATCAACAGCCCAGTCGTTCTAGCCATGTCCGGTCGAAAAATAAATTTTTGGCATTTTTCCGAAAATTGAAAATTTTATAAGGGGTTACATCATTAAAATTGCCAAAATTTGACAAAAAATTGAATTTTTTAAATTTGAAAACTGAGTATGCAGCTTTGTTAATCTACTAAAAACTAGCATAGAACAGCTTTCCGAATTAAAATTAATGATTGTTTGGCTTAGTTATGAGTTTTTTTAAACTATGATTTTTCGGAAAAATGTCCGTTTTTATACCTTTTTGCGGGTTCTTATGATTTTAGTCAACAACTGACAGTAGCACCAACAAACGCAGTATGCAGATTTGTTAGTACAATAAAAACTAGCACAGAAAAGCTTTCCGAATCAAAATAAATGCTATTTTGGCTTAATTATGATGTTTGGAAAACTCGGATTATTTAAGAAAATTGTCTGTTTTTATACCTTTTCGCAGAGTATAGCTTCAGTCAGAAGATTAAAACGCAGTGAAGGAGTCATTTCCGACCCTATAAACCATATATATTCTTGACCAGCATCAACAGCCCAGTCGTTCTAGCCATGTCCGGTCGAAAAATAAATTTTTGACATTTTTCCGAAAATTGAATATTTTATAAGGGGTTACATCATTAAAATTGCCAAAATTTGACAAAAAATTGAATTTTTTAAATTTGAAAACTGAGTATGCAGCTTTGTTAATCTACTAAAAACTAGCATAGAACAGCTTTCCGAATTAAAATTAATGATTGTTTGGCTTAGTTATGAGTTTTTTAAACTATGATTTTTCGGAAAAATGGTCCGTTTTTATACCTTTTTGCAGGTTCTTATGATTTTAGTCAAAAACTGACAGTACCACCAACAAACGCGGTATGCAGATTTGTTAGTACAAGAAAAACTAGCACAGAAAAGCTTTCCGAATCAAAATTAATGCTATTTTGGATTAATTATGATGTTTGGGAAACTCAGATTATTTAAGAAAATTGTCTGTTTTTATACCTTTTCGCAGAGTATAGCTTCAGTCAGAAGATTAAAACGCAGTGAAGGAGTCATTTCCGACCCTATAAACCATATATGTTCTTGACCAGCATCAACAGCCCAGTCGTTCTAGCCATGTCCGGTCGAAAAATAAATTTTTGGCATTTTTCCGAAAATTGAAAATTTTATAAGGGGTTACATCATTAAAATTGCCAAAATTTGACAAAAAATTGAATTTTTTAAATTTGAAAACTGAGTATGCAGCTTTGTTAATCTACTAAAAACTAGCATAGAACAGCTTTCCGAATTAAAATTAATGATTGTTTGGCTTAGTTATGAGTTTTTTAAACTATGATTTTTCGGAAAAATGGTCCGTTTTTATACCTTTTTGCAGGTTCTTATGATTTTAGTCAAAAACTGACAGTACCACCAACAAACGCGGTATGCAGATTTGTTAGTACAAGAAAAACTAGCACAGAAAAGCTTTCCGAATCAAAATTAATGCTATTTTGGATTAATTATGATGTTTGGGAAACTCAGATTATTTAAGAAAATTGTCTGTTTTTATACCTTTTCGCAGAGTATAGCTTCAGTCAGAAGATTAAAACGCAGTGAAGGAGTCATTTCCGACCCTATAAACCATATATATTCTTGACCAGCATCAACATCCCAGTCGTTCTAGCCATGTCCGGTCGAAAAATAAATTTTTGACATTTTTCCGAAAATTTAAAATTTTATAAGGGGTTACATCATTAAAATTGCCAAAATTATACCTGTTTGCTGGGTTTTATTATTTTAGTCAGAAACCTATATTTGCATCAGCAAACGCAGTATGCAGATTTATTAGTGCTATGAAATCTCGCACAGAAAAGCTTTCCGAATAAAAATTAATGCTTTTTCGGTTTAGTTATGAAATTTGGAAAACATGGATTTGTCAATGAAATTGTCTGTTTTTATACCTTTTTTGCAGAATATAATTTCAGTCAAACGATTAAAACGCAGTGAAGGAAGCGTTTCCGCCACTATTAATCATATATATTCTTGATCAGAATCAACAGGCAAATCTTTCTGGCCATGTGTGAAAGAATACAAATTTGGATCAATTTTTTCAAAAGTTATAAGGGGTTACATCGTTAAAATTAAAAAAAAGAAATTGATAAAAAACGGAACTCTTTAAATTTTCAAACTCAATATGCAGATTTGTTAACCTAATACGAATTAACATTGTATCTCTTTCCGAATTGAAATTAATGTATCTTTAGCTTAGTTATGCTGATTTGAATGCATGGGTATAAAAAACTTCGGCTTCCCGTAGTTCGCTTGGTTTTTCCTTCTTATTCTATTTAATTTTCCTATATATTTTCCTCCAAACAGTCGCTTTCCGCCCTTCAAGTGGTTCACCTGCTGTTGCAAGTCGTACCGCAACAACTCTCAGCAGAACCGCTGTCACACCGTTGGTCGAAGGCTGCACAACAGCTGCGACTCGATGAGGACACTTACCACATCGCTGACAGTCAGCCGAAGGTCCACCAACAAGACCAATGCCCGCGTGGTCATCTGCGAGCGGCCCAGCAAGGTGGTCACCGTGCCGGCCATGTCCGAGGTATGATAGCTGGCCCACACCAGGCGCAAGCCATCGCGGTTTGCGGTTCACGGGCCCACGGCCTTCAGCGATGCGGAGTTCCTCTAAGTGGGAGGAGAGCTCCTTCCGGCGAATGCATACCAGAGGCTTAGACAATAAGTTCGATAGTAAGGAGGGGGCATAGCTAGTCGCTAAATGTAAGTGTGCCAAGTCTACGCTACGAATTTCCAAAACCTATTTGCAATCTATGCTTAAGTAAGTAATTTATGCATTGTCTAGTACTGGCATTTCTATGACTTTTAATTAAGACTAAGAAAAATATATGGAATATATAGATGGAGTTAGCAAATGTATCTCTACGATGTCACAGAAATTCAAGTCACCATAAAGCTTTATTTTGGCTTTCAATTCTAAAAACTTTTATAGAAAAATGTGATAAAATCAGTTGAGAACAGTTTTGCATTACCTAATGAAATAATTATAAGTTTCTTTTCATTGAATAATATTAATTTTCCTATGTACTTCTGCATGAAAATATAGAAATAATATCTGTGACTATTATACATTTTTGAAAGATATTTACCCTCCATAATAATAATTCGAGATTTTCGTGACTCCTCTGAGATTGTTGTCGGGTTTCAGTCTTCTTAAAAGCTAATTTCCAACCTCTCCTATTTGTAATCTACTCATCAGACTGATTTAATTTGTGTGTGTGTATGGCCGTTAGGAGGAAATTTAAAAACATAAATATCTCCAGTCTCCTAAGTAGCTGCTAAGGTCATTAAAATTCCAACTCATCCGTGTGTATATATAGTATATATATATTTAAAGCCACTTGTAATGGTGGATAAACTTGTCCAAGCATCTTAAACCAAAACCTATTAGGCATAAGTAGACCATAAGAGTTAATAGAGCATAACGTTTTAGTCAATTTGGTTTAAGCTAATATTTATTTCATAATTATGTGTAGAGAGCAGAATAAAGGCAGCGGCGAATTCTCGAGCGTCTCTCGCATTTTTCATTCATTTTCTCGGCACGCGCTGGAAAATCCTCCTTTATTTTCACCCCAATGAACAATGGGGGCGCAAGGACACAAGGACGAACGCTCTCACTTTCTTTATAATTGTTGCGATGATGTGGTATTTGTCTGTGGCCTCCGCTGACGTCACTGATGGAAAGTGAAAAGTCAACATGGGTAGATAAATTGAGCGACAAAACCCAACAGACAATGAAAACATATTGGTTTCTGTGGGTCCTGCAAACAACCAACGGGTATTCCATTTATTGCTATTGTTATTATTATTATTATTGTCTGTGAAATGGTAAATTTACCATGCAAACCTCGGCGAATCTGTTTATGTTTGCCTTATGACTGACTGAGTCCCGCAGCTTTACCCCCTTGGCAAATTTGCATTCTCCACTTCCTGATGTTTAATCGCATGAGTAAACATCCCGACGGCCGATGGAAACTATAGCAACTGGTTGTGGGACCAGCCAGCTCTCGAATAAATTTCCCGGTGAGACAGAAGTGGAAAAATACTTTCCGCAGGACAGGGCAGGACATTCGCTTCATTTGGCACGGCACGGCAAGGACGAAGAAAAATCCATTAAGAAGCTTACGCCAGGCGGCGCATTGTTGAAATTGTTTGCAATTATGATTTGGTAAATTATTTGTCAACTTTTAATTGAAAAGCTATTAGAAAATTGGTAAACAAAAAAGAATTCTTTAACAATTGTTTTTGTCTGCAAGAAATTCGCAACGTTCCGGTTTATTTGCTGAAGAAATTCATAATTCCAAGGCCTTAAAGTTTCTTTAGAAAAAATGTATTAAAAGGGAATTCAAGAAGGAAGGGGATGATATTAAAAGCCAAGCTATAGCTGATGATTTCTCCTACATAGGTTTTTATCAGTTTACAATTTGAAATACCGTCAAAAAAATCATGATTCCAAATTACGTCTTTACAAAATCGGGCAATGAATTCGAATACAATGTTGTAAGAAGGAACTATAAAGTTCAGGACGCTATCCCTTCGCGCAACAGTTTTCGGTCACTGAATACGGGACGTAAGAAGTTCAAAGTTAGGAGCATGGATGGTGGTCTAAAGCGCTCCAAATATCACAAAAAGGATACAAGGAGTGCTGAAACCTCAACGCAGATGAACGCCAAGGATTCAACCGCGCGAAGCGTGAGCTTTCGTCTCGAAGCGGGAAACACTCGGTTCCAGACCCCAAGAGATCGTAAGACGGAGTCCTCGGTAGAAACATTAAACATGCACACAGATCCCAGTCCCAGTGTTCATAGCGACCTGCAGGAATCCTTCACCGACTTCTTTAGCATTATCCACGACAATGTCATGGAATCGGTGAAGGCGGCTGTGCAGCAAATGGTTAGCAAATGTTTCGAGCAATCCATGGCCAAAATTGAGCGGCTGTCTCAGGATATACGTAACCAAGAGGCACTGCTCAACAAAATCCATCGTGATATAACGAGTAGTAAGTGTATCTGTTTTATATATTAATGAAATCTCTGGCACGAAAACCTTTTCCCCTTAGAAATGGCACTTCAGAGCGAGACCAATATGAACCAATTCAAGTTCGTTACCCAAATGCTCATCGACAACCAGACCGTGCACTACAGGGCCCTCAATCAGGCGAAGCAGAACAAGCAGCGCCGTTTGGAGAATCGCGAGGTGGAGAAGGAACAAAAACTGGAACGGGAACGAAAGCGTTCCGGAAGCAGCATTAAGGCCAGAAGTTCCAGCATGGATCCTACCAAGAGATATGTGGGTGGTGATAGCAAGTCCCGAGGTCCCCAGCACAAGCTGTTCCAGCAGCAAGAGCCGATAATTTATAAGATCAATGAGGAGTTCAAAAGGACAAAAACGCCCATCCTCCAAAACAAGTCCACATCGAATAGTCTGCCGGATCTCTCTGGATCTCCGTCAAAATCTCCATCCGCGGTCTCCAAGCGCTCGGCGTCTCGTCCTTCCGGCAACAAACACGATCGGGAAGTATGTCTCCCAGCCATGACATATCCACCCAGTGCCATTCCTCGCCGAAGGGATGTCAAATAGAAATATCATTTTAATTTCCATGCTTGGCACTAAAGTTTTCCGAAACTGGAAATTCTATAACATGGGAAAATTCAATGTCCTTGCCATGTCATAGAATTGACAGTTATGGAAAACTTGAAAAAATTATAGAAAAATGATTAGGTTCAAAAAAAATAATTTTAATAAAACGGAATAGGGTTTGTAAAACATTGAACATTTGTTCCAAAGAAAATCATTGCAAAGTATGCTAATAAACAAAGAAAGCCTCACTTTAAATAAAAACAAAAGGAACATTACGCAAGACTATATAGTGATGATAAAAAAATTGAACTATATATGTAAAAACGGGGACTGCAGTTCCGATTTAATCCGAACTCTCACTAAGCTTTGTTGCCTCTGGTTTCTTTAGCTCCACAGTCTCGTAATACTGCTTCTTTCGCAAATAACGCTGGACAAATGGGGCCAATAGGTTCTCTTCAACATCTCGGACATCCTGACGTCCGTATACAAAGGTGGCCAAGTTCGAAATGATAATGGTAAGTGAGGCACCCATCATGGCGTACAATAAGAAGGACATGTGATACACCGAAGAACCACTATGGGGTTCGCTAAAGGAAAAGATTTTCGATAATTATTACATTATTAAGCTACTTATTAAACATAAGAAACTTACTATTCCGCTGTGGAATTCAGGTAGCGACTCATATCAAACTCATAGTCACACTTCTCAACGGAAACCGGAAGCTTGGTGTGCCGAAAGGAACCGGTTATATTGGCTATTTGGGCATTCACCGCTATCCAGGCCATGGTCATAAACGAGGCAACGCTACCGACGAAAACGCACTGTAATTGTGTAATTAAAAACATGATTTCATTATTATTTTTGTATAGAATCCTCTCGTAAGCCTTTACTCACCTTATCACCCACCCAAGGCATTAGCATGCCCACCGTAAAAATGCCCAACATTGGGCCATACAAGCTCGACTGGAGCGTGGCCGACAGCTGCAGGACCATGCCCAGTTTCTCCACCACATAGACCATAAAAATCGAGCTGATGCCGAAGGTCACCACAACCAGGCGCATGGTAAGGGCGATATGGTTCTCCTTCATCGCCTTTCCCATTCGCGGCCGCACAAAGTCCTCCAGGATTACGGCGGCCAGTGAGTTAAGGAGCGTGGATAAGGAGCTCAAAGCGGCACTAAAAACAGCCGAAACGAACAATCCTGGCAGTCCAGGAACCACGCCCAGGACTCGCATCACCAACAGGGGAACCAACTGATCCCGGCGGCCAGCCAGCTAAGGAATTACTTATTAGTATATAACATATACTATCATATTAAATATATTCTGGAACTTACCCCCGTGGACATCGGATCGCAATCGTAGTAGGTAGCATAGCAAACCAATCCCACATACACACAACCGCAGTAAAGTAAAGTAAGACCAATGGAGAAGGTAAACAGGGTTTGTTTGATAGCCTTTAGTCCTGGCAAGGACATAAACCGCTGAACTGTGGCCTGGTTAATGGACGTACTCTGCAGTTTGAAGAAGGTTCCACCCACAAAGACAGAGAACACACTCAGCCTAACAGTGGGATCCATGGTCCATCTGGGTATAAATAAAGTATTTTAGAAATATATCTCAAAAAGAATATATATCTTGAACCTACTCGGGTGTGTTGAGGCGGCCACCATCCATGTTACGCTGCCACACCACGCCAAAGCCACCCAAGTCCACAGTGCCTTTGATCATAATTACAATGAGGGATCCGTACATGATAACGCTTTGAACCACATCCGTATAGACCACTCCCTTGATGCCGCCCACACAAGTGTAGAAGGTGCAAATGATGATCACAATGGGTGTAATGGTGTGAATGCCTATTCCAGATACTTGGTTGAAGGTCAGGGCCGGTACATAAACTGCTATGGGAAGCCAAATGATCTATGGGAATTCACATGATAAAAATTGTAATAAAAGAAAATTTTATAAAATAAAAGATCTGCTCACCGCTTTTAGGACAAACAGACTGGCTCCGAACAAACGCATTCGCCGGCTGAAACGTCTCTCAAAGTACTGAAAGAATGAGTGTGTATAAGTATTGATTCTTAAAGGAACTCTGATCATATAGGACAGACCCAGTCGTAGGTTTCATTTACAGGCAAGCTAAAAGAATCAAGCTTAAGCATTCGGTTAAGATTAGGTACAAGACAATAATTAAACCTATGAAGAAACTACAGGTATTTGGGTTGTATATACAGGATATATATATTTATGGGATTACAATTATTATGATTATGCTTAGGACTTTTCGTCCTGCTCCAGCTTTGGCAGCGTTTTCGATTCGTGCAGAGCCAATTCTGCCTTCTCATCGCTAGCCACACTCTCGTATTGGCCATACCAATATTTCCTTATGACCGGACTTATCAGTTCCTTGTCCACCACACGGGGATCCTGACGACCAAAGTACAGAGTAGCCAACAGTGATCCAAGGACAGTGCCCAGGGAACCGACTGTGGTGTACCACAAAAATGAGATCTCATGGATGCCATGGCTGGTTGACTCCGTTGGAGTTCTGTTAATAGATTATTAAAACGGAAATTAGATATATATAGCTGATAGTGATCACTTGGAACAATTACATACGCCGTCGTGGTAGCATTCCAGTTGTCAGGCAGGTCAAAGGAGTAATCACATTCCTCCACAGAAACAGGCTTCGTGGGAAAGGTTAGAGATCCTGTGAAAATTGCTATTTGAGCACGCACCACAATATAGGCAGTGAAACTCGAGGCTGCCGAGATGCCTGCGAGGAGGCTCTATAAAGAATAGAAATACATTATGTTATATAGTATAACTATATAACTAAAATATTTTAATTTAGGTCAAACCTCAGTTTTAACAAAAGGCAGCAACATGCCCACACTAAAGGCACCCAGCAATGGACCACATGTAATGGCCGCCACCGTCGAGGACAGCTGCATGACCAGGCCAAGTCTCTGGACAATTGGCACGCTGGCCATCGAGATCAGACCAAAGACTATGACTACTCCACGCAGTATATATGCTGTTTGTCGCTCAGTCAGGGGCTTCTTACGGAAAGGCTCCACAAAGTCCGTAAGGATGACGCCAGACAGCGAATTCAGAGCCGTCGAAAGGGAGCTCAGGGCTGCGCTGAAGACTCCAGCTACAAAGAGACCAACCAGGCCGGGAATATGACCCACACTTTTAACCACATACAGGGGTATAACCTGATCCTTGGCACGAGCTAGCTGTAGAGGAGATCAACATATATATTTATCTTGAGGAACCCATAATCAAAGAAGGTACTTACACCCGTTGTAATGGGATCGCAATGATAGAACTCAGCAAAGGCCAGCATTCCTATATAGACACACATCAACAGGACAATCATAAAACCAATTAAAGAAGAAACTAGAGCACGTTTCACGGCCTTGTTATTGGGCAAAGTAAGATAACGCTGAACGATGGCCTGATTAATGCCATTGGCCTGAAGCTTGAAGAAAGCGCCGCCAATAAACAAAGCAAATACACCCATTCGTACTGTAGGATCAAATGTCATGCTGGAATATATTCATATATATATTTATAGCTAAAAATTCTGATTCAATGACTTAGATACTCACTCCGGGGCCACTAGGCGATCAAACTGGCGATTGTGTTCTAGGACCACACTCAACCCTCCCAAGTCCGAGGTGCCTTTGACAATGACGATGGCCATAGAGCCAATCATTACAATGCCCTGGATAACATCCGTCCAAACAACGCCCTTTATGCCACCCTTAAAAAGGAAAATTATAATTAGTAAAAATATAAATAATTAATAAAATAATAACCAAAACTCACCACACTGGTGTAAAGAATGCAAACCAAACTGGTCAAAGGAACAATGGTGCTGACACTTATGCCGGAAACTAATCAAGAAAAGTATAATTAAAACCTCTTTAATTATTAAAATATAGATTTATGTACTCACCTTGATTAAGGGTCAAAGCAGGCACATAAATACATATAGGCTGCCACAAGATCTAATAAATATAAAGATTAATTTAACACATACATTTGTAAAAATTAACTGAACTTACATTCATCACCACAAAGAGGCAGGATCCAAAGATCCGAACTCGTCGATCGAAGCGTCTCTCGAAGTACTGCGATGAGATCAAACAGAAGGAAGAACAAATAGTTTATAGGATGCATGGCTATGTACAGGATGCATTTAATAAATGAGACATGCTAGGACACACCACAAGCAATAAAAAACTTTTACACAAAACAACAAATGAACACATTTTATTAAACGAAAAAATTAAGAAGCACTTTGAGCTTCAGTTTCGGTTTTGCGCTTAAAGAGATCCTCCATATTGACAGCCTGATAGTTCTTGTTGGGCAGGAAGCGGCGCATACAGGGCGTGATCAGGGCAGGATCCATCTTATTGAGATCCTCCCAGCCGAAAAACAAGCTAGCCAACAGTGAGACCACGGTACAGATAACTCCACCGAGGGCAGTGTACCAAAAGAAGGACAAATGGTAAATGTTACGCTCCGAGGGCCTGAAAAATAAATACTTGATGTATGTTTCTAAAACCCAACCCACCCGGCATACTTACCTGTAACTGTGGATGGTCTCCTGAACGGTGACATTGTCAAAGGCATAGTCACAGCCATCAACAGAAACGGGTAACTTGGGATACCGAATCTCTCCATTCATTTGGGCCAACTGAGCTCGCACGCAGATCCAGGCCAGTGCCAAAAAAGACACCAGGCTGCCCACCATTACGCTCTATTAAAAGTAAAACTTATTTAGATTAAAACATTATTTAAAAAGCAAACATGTCACCTTTCCCTTCACCCAAGGCAGGCCCACACCCATGGAATAAATGCCCAAAAGTGGACCCATCGACACGGCCGCTGTGGTGGTGGCCAAGGGAACCACCATTCCCAGCTTCTCCACGATATTGACTAAGCCAATACATGAGAATCCTAACACAACGACTATGGCCCGCAGCCAGAAGGCAGTCTGCCGTTCCGTCAAGGGCGTCCTCAGCAAGGGTCTCACAATATCCTGGGTAATCACACATGCCAAGGAATTTAGGCCCGTGGAAAGGGAACTTAGAGCAGCACTAAAAACGCCAGCCACAAAAAGTCCTGGCAAGCCGGGGAAGGAACCCAAAGTGCGCATCATTAGCAAAGATGGCAACTGGTCGCTGGCAGCTGCCAACTGTAGAGGAAAAACTCCATGTATAATTTAGTTGAAAGTAAATTTAATATACTATTTACCTTAGTACTTATAGGATCACAGTCATGGTAAACAGCGTAGGACACCAGACCCATGTAGTTGCAGCAGCTCAAGAGGAACATCAGGAGCAAAGTGAAGATAAACATGCACCGCTTGGCATGGTTATAACTGGGCAGGGAAAGGAATCGCTGTATGGACACCTGGTTGACATCCGAAGACTGGATCTTATGCAGGGTGCCGCCCACAACCACAGATAACATGGACAGACGAACCGTGGGATCCCAGGTCCACCTGAAACAGCAATTATCAGTATTAATTAATCATGGCCAAGGCCAAAAGACTCACTCCGGTGCATTGAGTCGACCGCCGTCTTCATTTCGCTGCAGGACCACGCCCAGACCGCCCACATCTAAGGTACCTTTAATGCATACCGCCAAAATGGAACCGAACATTACGAAGCTCTGGATGACATCTGTCCAGACCACGGCCTTCAGTCCGCCCTAAAATGACAATTGTCGAGTTCTAGGGATGGCAGAAAATTTAATTAAGCCTCACCACACACGTGTAGAAGGTGCAGATGGTGCAGACAATGGGCGTAATCACATGGATGCCCGTGCCGGTCACTGAAAGCCCAAAATTCTAAGTAAATGCGAATATATTTGCATGTGTGCACTTGAGAAAAATTCACTTAGATTTAGGTATGTAAATTCAAAGTAAAAGTCTGATTATTGACAATTATTAGGAATTATCCAATGTGAATTCGATTTAACGTTTTCGTTAAATTAATTTCTTATTAAATCTAAAAACCTGCTTATTTCTCTCAATGCAAACATAGATAGTAAATGGAAATTCTTGTTGTACTTAAACCAAAATCAAACTCACCCTGATTATAGGTTATAGCTGGTACATACAGACAAACTGGCAGCCACACCATCTACAAAGGAAAGTGGTAACAGAGGAAAATCAAAGGGGTTAGCAATAAATTAAGGATTGCAATACTCACGGTTCCCACGATGAAGAGAACTGAGCCCAAATTGCGTATGCCAGCTCCATAGCGCAATTGAAAGTACTGAAGGTTTAAGGGATTCAAGTTAGATTTAACATATGTCAGAGGCATTAATACTTAGACTAAATAGGGTTTCGTGCGGTGCTATTTACAGGTCCTAATATTAAAGCTAACTCTACGGAAAGAAATTGAACAATTGCGTCTTAGGGATACATTTTATTGGCAACTACATGGCAAAGGGATTAAGTTCTACGATTTCTCATTCGGAACCTTTAAGATGGTCTCGTCCAGCTTCACGCTGGTATAGTTTATCTTGTGGAACCTGCGAATGCAGGGCGAGAGCAAATCAATATCCACATCCTCTGGCTTATTCCGGCCAAAGATAAACCCTGCCAGATGGGCTGTGATAACAGCCACTGTGGCCCCCATCGTGCTGTATAACATGAAGGATACATTGTAGAGCTGTTGGGCGAAGGTTAGGGATCTGTGGGAAATAACCATAAGCAGTGAGTGGTTACTTGATAGATCCTGATCAGGACATGACTTACGCAGACTGCGACGATATGGCATACGTGGCATTAGCAGGTGACACCAAGGGATGCTCGAACTCATAATCACATCCTTCCACGCTTACCGGCTTGGTCTCGAACTGAATTTCACCGGAATTAATAGCCAGTTGAGCTGACAGGCATAGCCAGCCCATGAAGAAGAAGGAGCAAAGTGATCCCACAATGGCGCTCTTTAAGAAAATTAATTAGTTCTTACGTCTCTTTTGTTCAGATGGGGTGACTAACCCTGGACTTGATGCTTGGGCACAGCAGGCCCATGACAAAAAGTCCCAGCAGTGGACCCTGGACCACAGATCCAATGGTCATGGACAATTGCATCACATGAGAACCCATTCGCTCGACCACGAATACAAGGGCCACACTTAAGACTCCAATGGCCACAGTCACGAGTCTCATAATGATGGCAGTTTGATGCTCGGTAAGGGGCTTCCTTGCCAACGGCCTTATGTAATCCTCCAGGAAGACGGCGGCCAGGGAATTCATACCAGTGGAAAGGGAACTGAGAGCGGCACTAAACACACCGGCCACAAACATTCCAGGTACGCCGGGAAACGAGCTTAGGGATTGCACAACCAGCAGAGGAACCAACTGATCCTTCGCAACGGCCAACTGAAATTTATTTCACAGTCAGAAGAGTTAATCAAAAGGGATTGAATATTCTAGAACCTTGGTGGTCAAGGGATCACAGTCGTAGTAGGTTGCGTAGAGCAGCAGTCCGTTATACAGGCATATGGCCATCAGAACCACTAGTCCAAAGATGAAGATGAACGATGTCTGGGCCATCTCCTTGATGCCCGGCAGAGACAGGTAACGTTGTGTGATGATCTGGTTGCAGCCTAAGTTATAGGCATTATGCGCCAGGTTGCCCACTAGCATGGCCATCAAGGACATTCGCACCTTGGGATCGAACGTAGCTCTGCATCGAAAAGGTGATAGATTAGGCATAAGTATCGCCCTAATTAACACTTTTTGGACCTACTCGGGCCACTCGAGGCGACCGCTATCAAAGTTCCTTTGAATAACCACGCCCAGCCCGCCCACATCCATGGTGCCCTTGATGATCACAAAGAATATGGCTCCCACCATAATGACAGTCTGGATGACGTCCGTCCAAACAACGGCCTTCAAACCGCCAACAGTTGTGTAGAAAATGCAGACGAGGCACACGATGGGTGTGATGACATGGATATTAATGCCAGTAACTGAAAAGGTAATAGTGAACGTCAACAGGAACTCAAGTTTCGGACTTAAATAAAAATAAAATAATTAATTAAATTAATTAATTAAAGGTAAAGATATAGCTTAATAAAACAATTGTCAAAAACCCATTTGAGATTCATTTGTAAGGTATTTATGTACACGATAAAATGCCATTATATACAAATACTTACTTTTACTAGGTGCAAGATATTGCTATACATGGTGCATTGTGTTTGATTTGAGCTAAATTCAAGTAAGCAATTATGAATATAACAATATAAAAATAATGTTAAACAATATATAGCCTAAAGTGGACTTTATTGGAAAATGATTTAAGCTTTTAAGCTTCGGTTCGAATTATTTCCGTATAAAGGAAGTAAGAAACAAATAAGTACATCGCAATTTGAACTCAAATGCATCAGTTAATTGGCAAAGCCTTAACCTATGACTTCTCGGTGGCTTCCTTAAGGGTATTCTCGTCCAGGCTAACACTGGAATAGTTCAACTTCTGACGTTTTCGTACGCAGGGAGTGAGCAGCTCGGGATCCACTGAACCCTCCTTATTTCGGCCAAAGAAACATCCGGCCAGATGTGCAACACCCAAGGCCACACATCCCCCCATGACAGTGTAGAACATGAAGGAGATGTGGTATAGCTGCTCTGCGAAACTGAGAGACCTGCGGAAGGGGTTTGGCACATGAGAAAAGACCAGCAGACAGGCAGTGGCTGGTTCTGGCTAACTTACGCTGACTCTGCACTCGTAATGGTGGCATTGGCAGGCGTCACCAGGGATCGATCGAACTCATAGTCACAGCCATCCACGCTAACTGGCTTTACGTCGGCATGAATCTCCCCTGAGTTAATAGCCATTTGGGCTGAAATACTTAGCCAGGCCATGAAGAAGAACGAGACCACAGATCCCACAATGGCACTCTTAAATCAAAACAATACAAATTTGTAGTCAGCAGAGAAGACACACTAAGGAGGAGGAGACACTAACCTTGGAGTTAATACTGGGGCATAGCAGACCCATCGAAAACAGACCTAGCAGTGGACCCTGAACCACTGAACCCAGGGTGATCGCCAGCTGCATCACATGGGAGCCCATTCGCTCGACCACGAAAACCAGACTCACACTAAGGACTCCAACAATCACCGTCACGAGTCGCACGATGATGGCGGTCTGACGCTCGGTAAGAGGCGTCTTTGCCATTGGCCTTATGTAATCCTCCAGGAACACTGCTGCCAGAGAGTTCATGCCAGTTGACAGGGAACTAAGGGCGGCACTAAATACTCCGGCCACAAACATGCCGGGCACTCCAGGAAAAGAGCTTAGGGATTGCACAACCAGCAGAGGAACCAACTGATCCTTAGCCACGGCCAACTGTAATACATTTCGCAGATCAGAGGAGTTTTATAAAAACTGATCAAACATTCCCGAACCTTGGTGGTCAATGGATCGCAGTCGTAATAGGTTGCGAAGAGCAGGAGGCCGTTGTACATGCATAATGCAAACATAAGAATCAATCCCAGAATAAAGAGGAAAGATGTCTGGGCCATCTGCTTCACACCAGGAAGGGACATGTACCGCTGGGTCATCATCTGATTGCAGCCAAACTGGTAGGTGTTGTGACCAACAGTGCCCACCATCAAGGCCAGAATGGACATGCGCACCTTTGGATCGAATGTAAACCTGTTTTCGAAGTGCATTCAAAAGTGAATGAAAATGCCACAGAATAGCGGAAGAATTTCACCTACTCGGGCCACTCGAGGCGTCCGCTGTCATAGTTTCGCTGAATGACCACGCCCAGCCCGCCCACATCCAGGGTGCCCTTGATGACAACAAAGAATATGGCTCCAATCATAATGACGGTTTGGATGACATCCGTCCAAACGACGGCCTTCAGCCCACCAACCGTTGTGTAGAAAATACAGACGAGGCAAACAATTGGCGTGATGATATGGATATTAATGCCAGTAACTGGAAAAATTTACATGATATATATGCCATTGATGCTTAATTTATATATTTACAATTTAAAACATTTAATAATGGGGAACATTTTCAGACATGCCTACAAATATTCATTATAATTAGACATTTGCATATGTTTCCATTAAAAAGAATTGAAAATGAATGATTTATAGTAAACTTTCAATCAATATTTCGAGTTCTTTGGTGACCTTTTAGGTTCTTGACAACTTTTATGATTTAATTTTGCAATTTTATAACTATAACTTCAAGTTCTTACCTTGATTAAAGGCCAGTGCCGGTACATAGATGACAATTGGCAGCCAGATAATCTGTGGGGAAAACAAATTCAAGACTTTTCTGCGGACTTCCAGCAAGGACCTGGCATTTCGTTGCACTCAAAATTGAATTCTACTTACATTTGCCCCAGTGAAGAAGGCGGATCCCAGCAGACGAACGGACTTGTTAAAGCGCAGCTCGAAGTACTGAAAATATTTTTTTCCATTGTCGGATTGTCGGCGTCGTGTTAACACAATAAAGATGCACACCAACACTCGCAGTGACACTGACCAGCATGGCAGCAGCAGTGCAATGCAAAAGCGAGTGTGCGGCAACGCGGCGTATACATACATAATAGACTATTACTCATACGACATGTAGCCAGCACAAAACTTATAAACTACGACTGTCCGTATGCCAAACCGGCGCACAATTGGTATTGTTCGGGCTTATTGCAACCCGGCATGGCATTGTGTGCCAAATCCTCGTGGATACACATGCATATCCCCTTCTCAATACCAATCCCCCATTGGCATGCAAATAAAGTGAACCCTTTCAGGCGATTGCACGCTGCTTTTTTTTGTCGCGAACACGGACTTTTCCTTGTTCTCCCTTAAACCTTACTTACACATTAACATGCCAGCGAATATTATCAGATTCCAAAGATTTTGTACACTCGAAAACATTGAATTAATGCGTAACATGCAGTCCACTAAGTAAACAAACACATCTCCATGCGATTGGACAACGTTCTGCTTACCTCATAGGTGGATGTCAGCTGAAGATTGCAGAACACCGGCAGGAAGATGTACCACGAGATGGTTCCCGAAATGGCCAGCGTCACCAGGATGAAGGCATACTGGGTGCCGTACACATAGATTTCCGTTGAGGTTCCCAGGAGCGAGATGCCAGACACGAAGCTGAAAGTGGAATATGAGAAATTGTTATTATTAGTTCAGGCTAATTACGTCTGAAGCTCAAAGTTCAAGTCAACGCTAATTGTGTGCCGATTGATCGGTTTTTCGGCCAAGTTTCACTGTTTTTTTATTTTAGGAATGGACCAAAAATAAACTTGAAGTCAATTTTTAATTGAATTAGGTTCGGGCCAAGCAACCACTCAAGCTGTTGGCCCAAGTCATGATGGAGGACAGGCCTCCAATATTGTGAAACAACTTTTAGGTTCAATTTTAATTAGCTTCAAAAAAACACTGAGCACTTTCTTTATATTAAGCTAAGATCAGTTTTTTTTAATACATAACGATAATATTTAAATATTATTAATTATAGATGTTTTAAAAACTTTACTATAAATTTTACTTATCTCTAAATGGCCAACGTTGCAGTATTGCAACAAAATGCTTTAATATTTTGCACACTGTATATCCTGTTTATGGTCTCCCCCCTAAGTTTTTAATTAAATTAAGTTTATGCCAATCAATCACGGAAATGTTTGCTTAACTTTTGCCAAAGGTGCCCCAAAAATATTAAACTAAATGTTGGGTAAAAAAAATGTTTAAAATTAATGATATTATTGTGGCGTAAATCCTGCAGAACTGAAAGTTTTTAATTAAATTAAGCTCGCCCCAAAGCAGCTTTACATTAAAGTTCAGTTCATTCCGATTACCGAGGTAACTTTAAGGTAAAATTCCATCATCCAAAACGCAGCTTAACCTAATATCTGCTCTAGCATTTCGTGTAAGTAACATTGCTCTGGCCCAAGCATTTCGTAATCTGATTTTAATGATTAATGTCCATAACCATCATCATTTCAATTTGTGCCACAAAACAAATGAATTGCCGCCACAGACACACAGAAAGTTGACGGCGGCTAAGAGAGAAATGCCATTAAAAGTTGATAACAAGCGGCGTTAAAGTACGCAGACACACAACGACACGTTTAAAAAATACGAAAAAGAAACAACAAAAATATAAACAAAAAATTGAAAAATCTGCAAAGCACAAAGGACATTTTGAAGGGAAAAAATGATGGCATGTAATTGTAATTCAAAGCACGTTGGCTGAATTTGTTGCAAAAAGCAAACGACAACAAATAGAATGCCATAACAATAAAAGGCTCACGAAACAATTGTCAGCAGGAGAGGCAAATGACCAAAACCCCGGCCCTAGGATAGGCCAGGATTGCCAGGATTGCGGGGACCAGGTTGGCCTGGTCGGTCATTAATGCGACGACAACGACGACGACTACGACTAAGACAAAGGGACCGCACCCGTCGAAAGGTGCTTGACCAAAACGTGTCAAATACAATGCCCAACACCCACCCGTTCGCTGTTCCACGACCAAGGTCACTCGGCCGAACGAGCGAAAGGCGAAGAAAAAGTAATTTGGGCAAATTATTTGAGTTTGCGGCTTGGCGCAAGTTTAAATAACTTCAATCTGGCTTAGACACCAAAAGCGGATAAGTTGTATTTATACGCCAGATACACACTCATATATATGGCTATATATATTTTACTCGCAAAGTTCCGCAAGCCATTTCAATATCAGCACAATCAACACGGAGGACACCCCCTAATAGGCTTGACCCTGACAATGAATATTGTTTACGCAATCTCTCCTCCAGTCTTCTGTCGGAAACTTTTAAATAAAATGCTACACTGTTTGTTCTGGCCAAACAACTTGCCGGGAGCCAGACAATGCTGGACTGGGCCAGATTATCCTCTTGGCCATATTACGTATACGCACGTTTAGCTGATGGCACAAAATAAAGCGAAATGACTGAAAATATATATAAATATATATACATTTTGATTGATTTGGCAGGGGATAAGTTAAGCCCATTACGATAATTTGTTCAAATATTAGCCGAATCCAAATGAATGCACCGCATTCAATTTAAGGGGATTAGCCCCGGCTTAAAGGGACTGAAACAATGAATTTACGAATTTCCTGCCGTCCACTATTTCTATTTAAGAGCTCGAACCTGTCTGTTGGGTCTTGTCAAAAGCAATTAAACACGAAGACACTGAGGAAAATATAGCTATTTCTATATTATATTATTCTATTTCAAATTTTATAAATAAACATATTCAAATAAAAAAGGTTACAAAAAAACATTTCAGTTCTTCGATTAATCTACAAAATGTATATCTTATGTATTATTTAAGGTTACAGAATAGATTCTGTTTTTCAATTTAGGTCTTTTAGTAAACTTTCAGACATTTAATATATGTTCTTCAATAAAAATATAAAATGCATTTTATTTAAGGTAGTTTAAAAGATTTTCTTAAACTGGAAAATATTCAAAGCACTTAAATGAATAAAAATAATTCGAGGATCTAGTATAGGCAGAAAGTTTCTGGCAAAAGAATGTTAATTGATGAAAGCAAATTAAAATTCAGTATATTTTCCCAGTGTATATCCTATTAGCTGGGCAGCATAAAACACGCAAGGCCAATTTAGCATTTGCATACAAGCCCATGCCCACAGCCGGAAGTGAGCTCCTCCCCAAATTTAACTGTGACTGTAACTCACCTGGCCACAAGTGACAGCGCGACCGGAAATACTTTCATTTGTCGCCCGCCCACCAGATAGTCCAGCGCCTCCGAGCCACGCCTCTCCTCCAGGCCCGCCGCCCCGGCCCCATCCTTGCCGGCCAACTTCTTCCTCTTTTGCTTTTTCTCAATAAAGCCGAAATAGAAGCCGATAACAGCGCACACGGCCAACATGGCGACGAAGACCAAGTAATCAACAATGCCAAAGTGCTGCAGTGCCTGGCTCAAATCCTTCACGCTGAGTTTCTCTTCCGCGTCTTCCAGATTGGATGAAAATGAGTGGGATGAAGTGGGTGTTGTTGGTGTGGGCGTTGACGAGGGAGTGGGAGTAGTCCCTGAGGAGGTCCTGGCGGGACTGGCGCCAGTTGTTGAGCCTCCAGAGACCGTGCTGCTAATTATGGCCACTGTCTTGGCAATCGCATTGACCACCGTCGTGGCAGCCGTGGTGGTGGAGGTGGTGGTGGTGGTCGTGCTGCCTGCCAGGGTGGATGTGGATTCCCCCAGCTCCATGGGATCGGTAGTGGTTGACATTATTTCCGGGACCGCAAGTTGCTTTTATGTAGTTTATTTTTATCGACTTCCAGCCGCTCGCTTTAATGCGTTTCAGCTTTGATTACTTTTGCATTAGTTTTGCCACTCGCACACGCACTGTGAATTGAATTCGATTTTTCATTAGGTATTTTTCGTTTTCTTTTTTTTCGATAGCACTCGGTACTTTAATCGCTTAACCGGAAAAGTTTTTGGAGAATGCTTATTGAATTTTCATTACTTTTGCAAGAAAAGAAAATTAGACTTTAAGTGGAACGAATCTTTTTTGTAGAGAAAGAACTTATCAGGACTCTTGGAATTTAATAAAATAAGTTGCATAAAATGGGGAAATAAGAAACAAATAATAATAATTGCCTTCTTTCGACTGAATTACAAATACACTCTGAGAAAATTAAAGCAATTAATACTGTTTAACAAACTAGTGTAGTACAAGTTTAATATAAGGTAATTAAGATAAGTTTTATATTACTTGAGCTTAATCCTCAAATAGTTTAATATACTACTCAAGACCAAATCAAATATTACAAAAATTTACAAAATATAGTGTACATAAAGATAGACTTTTGATGAAACTCTTATGCAATCTTATATCACACCCGCACTCAAGATCCTTGACTTTGGGAAGCAGGATATATTAATTAATTAACACCAGACGAGAGCCCGCACAAGCGTACGATCTGAATCTCCACCGAGCACTGAACTCACTTTCCGACTCAAGCACCGTTAGAGATCACCGTTGATCTTATCTAGGTTCTAGGCGCCGCAGCATCACCGTCAGCATCGTCAGAGCACGCCGATCATAATTCACGCAAATCTTGTAAGTGTGGGCTGAGGCTTTGTGTAAGGCTTTATCGCCTAATTGGCCAGGGGCATGTCAGGCAAGATGAATAGATAAGTGCACACCCCCATTCGGGGTGTGATGCGATAGTGGATAATATCGTCGTCTAGCCGCAGATCTGCCAGATTGTAAATTACTTTCTTTGTACGCGGACGTGGCCTAACCGAGACTTTATTGCCAGTGTGTCGGTAATATATAAAAATGCATATCCCTAGAACTTTACAACTCTTCAAAAAAAAAAATGGGGAAAATTCCACCAGAATACGTTAAATTCTGACTGTTGGCTGGGCAAATCACCTTGCTTGTGGTTCAAACGAGTGGCTACTGGTTTTGACAACACTGCTAGACAAAATTGAATAAAGAAAGCAGGTACAAAATGATATCAATGAACACTACAATGCATAGCATTAAAAAAGTCAATACAATAAAATAAGAAAGGAAAATTTTAAATGATTACCAATAAAATATATTTTAAGAGTTTAAAATTTGGATACCATTTCAGGGTATTATAGTTATGGTCAGAAGCTTGAACATGAGGGAAAGAGTCGTTTCCTACCCTATATGTATATTATATATATTATTGATCAGCAACAAAAGCTGAGACGAGTTAGCTATGTCGGGTAAAAAAAAAAATTTCGCAATTTTTTTCAAAATTTTATAAGGGGTTACATCGTTAAAATTTTCAAAATTTAACAAAAAATTGAATTTTTTAGATTGGAAAACTTAGTATACAGATTTGTTGGCCTTATAAAAACTAGCACACTACCTTTATCCAATAATACTTAGCCTTGTAGCTCAGTGTCATCATTATACATTGTTTTAACTGATGATTAGGCTGGAATACTTAATATTTGGTGAATGCGCTCAGTCAAGGCCAAGGCGTGACGTATGTGCGTTGAATGCTATACCAACTTGGATCTAATTAAATACAAAACGGTTGGTTTTGTCTCCACCCCAGGTCAGGCCGGAATTTCGCCATGAAAGCCAACCATTTCATGACATTTTCTGTTGGGCAACAGGATGCGACACAAATTCAATTTTGAAAATGGCCAGCAGTGTTAGCTAACCGTCCGAATGCCCCAATTGGCCATATCCGACAGGCAATGGCAATCAAGTTGAACTCCACAATCCAGTGAAAAAAGTAACTCAATGTGGCATGTCAAGGGACAAAAAAAAAGCAAGGGAAAAAACCATGTCAGTTGTACACAGTTGTGCTCTGGCAGCTCCTTCATCTCTGTTTTATTGGGTTTAATGCACATTAATCGGCGAACAATGCCTGTGATATCATCCGTGTTATTGTTGCTGCAGCAATTTCTACAGTATCTCAAAATAGTCTACTGCACTAGAGGCTCTGGCATAAATAGCCAGCACACCAGCAGCAACTAATTGATTTTTGACAATCAATTACGGCAATTACTTACGTCTTGGAGCAGGGTCGAATGGATGAGGTAAATTCAATTTGTGGAAACCTACAAAACGCATACACAACGTGACTCCGGCCTTTGGGTAATCTGCTCCTGAGGTAATCCTTGGAAGCAAGGAGAGCCTCGAAATAGTTGAAGGAGCTACCAGGAATGAAGCTTAGTATTAATGTGTTTCCAGCGAAGAATGGGGTTGAGGGAAATGTTTGATAAATTTAATTTACTTGGAAGCTAGGAGTACTGCTTTTGTATTGCAGTAGTATTATTCATTTTATTAACAACTATTTTAGATAAAAAAAGGTCGACTCTACGGATTTATAAAAAAGTGTTAATTAATATTAATCTAGTATAAGTAAGTATTCCGATTCTGTTATAGAAATGGCTATACATAAATAGTCATTAATTTAAGACATTACTAAATAATATTAATTTAACCTTATTCTTATTCTGATGAATGGAAATTTTCCATTGGCTTTAATAAAATATTTTGATTGACGTAGCTTTCATCCATCTATTTTAATCCCATTCCTAAAAATAGTCTAAGCTGGTAATCCCACAGATACCGGTAAAAATCCTAATGTAAACAATGGAAATTACACCATGTTGAAACGGCATGACGAACGTGTAACAATAATAGTAAACAAAAGATAAAATCATAATTAAATTCGTAAATCTGTGCACAGTACTTATGTGCGGCCTTAAAGACCAAAAACTACCCCACAGATAAAAGCCAGTGGCAACCGTAATATAAAACCGGGCCACCGTAAATATGGCTCCAAAAACAAGAATAATAAAAGGATGATGAAAAAATGGTACAAAGCTTTGCAAAATTTAATTATTTTTTTGCGACGAGCAAAAAGGAAATCCCGAGTTTAGCATATGCAAAATAATGGCCAAAAACCGGCACCGCCAGTCGCGCTCCACTTGACCCTTTCGGCCGGGCTTAATTTGTCTGGGAACCGCAAGTGTTCCTGGCCTTATGATTTGGCACAGAATATACCAGCTTAACTCTACGGGAAGCCGCCCAAGTCCACTCACCTTGCACCTTTTTGTGAGGAAAATCCGAAGCCAGCCGAATATTTGTGCAGTTAGTGTTTGGAAAAGTTCCATTTCCGGTCGCAAGCTGCAGCTCCTCCATTTGCTCAAAGCGCCCTGCAGTTGCCTTGACTTCGGAGCCATTTCGTTTCTCTTGTGTGTTTTCCCTTTCTTGATACTCAGTAATTGTTAAAGTGAAGAGTCTATTGTAACTGTAAAATATGTAGTTTCAATTAAGGTCTAAAAAATATAGGTAATAAAAATAAAAAAAGGAAACTATCTTCAGGAAGCCGAAGTTTAAATGTCCTTGCAGTTTGCAAATGAAATATACTTAAAATATTTGCATTTTTTAAATCGATGGCGACCAATCAAAGTTTAAAATACACATAAATAAGGCAAAAAGGCATTAATTTTAAATCGGAAAGCATTCCTATGTTAGTTTTTGTTAGGTTTATCTGCCTACTTCGTTTAAAATATTAAAACATCCAATTTTTTAAGATTTTAATAATGTAACCCCTTATAAAATTTTCAAAAATTTTGAAAATTTTCTTATTAGCCGGAAATAGCTAGAAAGATTTGCCCGTTGATGCTGATCAAGAATATATATGATTTATAGGGTCGGAAATGATTCCTTCACAATGTTGTAAGCTTCTGACTATACCATGGAAAGGTATAAAAATGTGTTGAATTTTATATCAATATTTTTTTCTCTAATGGATATCTGGTGTACTATACCCTGGATTTGAAAGTTCCTTCTTGTATTGTTGTGTTTATTCCATTTTGTGCACACACACTTGAGCCAATTTAACGCTTCCGTGTGCTTTTTACTTGCAACGCCTCGTTGACTGTTCGCTCGAAAACTTTGTGCTCGAGAAACGTGGCCAGAGGGGAAAATGATTTAATTTCTAGCTAAAAACCGAAAACACAATCCGTAAATTAGCGCTCTGCCATGTACACTCCAATTAATCCAGTTAAGTAATCGCTGGCATATTTCTTTGCCGCCAGAACTATTCGGGGCCATTGATTACACGGCCCACAAATTAAGACCAATTAAATCAAATCCAGATTGGGCGGGCGGATCCAGTGAAACCCACGAATCCCACGCAAATCGCGTGGCCTTGAACTTGCCACACAGCCCAGAGCCATTAGCCAGAAGCCAGACTCCCTTCGATCTAATTTCTTACTCAGCCTCAGAGCCGAGCCTACATACATACATATCCACCCGGGGGCATTTATGCCCAGACACATGGCCAGAAATCGACTTGGCCCTTTGGAGAGTTGCGCTGATGCCAATGCCGGCGGAATGGCAGTGAAAAGCTTGAATATGCATTATTCTTTCAGCTGGCCAGCCATCCGCTGGCAATCAGAAGTTGCTCGAGTGGAAAATTAAATGTATTTCTCTGTCCAAACATGTGAAGTGGGTTTGGGATGGATTGAAAAGTGCTTGGATCCAAGTTGTGGTTCCAGGAATGGTGTCTGTAAAGTTGGCAGCTCACAGCTTAAAGTTTTAGTAAGTTTTAAGGTAAATAGAAGTGTTTAATCTGTATACAAAAATAAGGAGATTAAAAACAACCACGCTGAAGATTATAAGCTAATAAAAATAAAAGGTTAGTACATTTTCTTGAAATAAGAACGAGGAAAATTAAAGAGAGATCGAAAGACAGAACTCTCAAATTCCAACCTTAAAGGAAACTATTTCGTGCTACTACATGACTTTCAATAAACACAAGCCAATTAAACGTAGTAGATTTTCTATTTCCATTCTCAGTTTTTTTCCTCTGCCTACTTAATGTTTGCCTAAGTAGTACTACTAGCTTATCACTTAACTTAAAATAAATCCGATTGCCACCGGTATAAAGTTCCCGTCGAGATTAGAGAGCCTTTTTATCAATCACATTCCACTGTTCTTCAACTCGTACGCCTCCATGATGGCGATCACAGGTTCGTTCACATACACTCGGACCTCATGGTTAAGGGCATAGTCTCCGTGGTTCCACTCTTTATCTTCCATGTGGTGCATCTCCTTGTTGGGCAGCCGCTTGGCCAACTGCTCCACATCCTCCACGGCGGCCAAGTTATCGTTGTCCGAGTACCACATGTGCACTTCGGAGGTGATTAGCTCCACGGGATACTCTGGCGGCTCTTCGGTGCCATAGAGCTCCAAATTCTTCTTAATTCCATGATCAAACTGTCGGAAGTAGCCAGAATGATGCTCTTGCAGATAGTGCAGCATCTGATCGGTGGAACAGCCTGCCGGATGAGTGGCCATAGCATCGGGCATTGCCGTCTGAAGGAGATTTATTTATGAAATTTATGTATTTAACATTCTGAAATGGATTTATCACTCACCATATTGACACGACCGCCATCGTAAAGAGCCTCCATGGCGCCCTCGCACACTGGACGCAGCATAAAGTCCGGCTGGCAGAGATTGAAGAACAGAGCCATCACAAACTCATTGTGCGGCAGGAATTCCTGGGAGCCGAAGAGCGTGTCAGAGATACCTCCGTTGCCCAAATAACGAGCCACGGAACGCACAAAGGAGTTAGCCAAGTTCTTCATGATGGCCACCGGGGCGAACATGTGTGCGGTCTTGATCTTCTTGTTATATTCCGGCAGCGTAGACATTCCGGCAAAGAAAACCGTAGTACCCTGCGAATGGCCTACATAATGGATGGCCTCCTGCCCCTTGCCATTCTCCGTGTCCAAAGCATAGTCAATGATGGCGGTAATATCGTAAATGGCAATCTCATGCCAACTGAATTTCCAGAAATTTGGATGTTCCGTGGAGATCTTGGTGTGATTCCTGGAGTAGGAGGTTCCACGTCCATTTCCCATCCACACATCGTATCCAGCATCGGCTAGCAAGTAGGGAAGACTATCGTTGGGTCCTTGCAGAATCCAGGCATCAGAGCAGCTCGTCAAACCGTGTTGAAGAAGCACTATGGGTCGCTTTTTGTTTTGATTCTGCAAGTTGTGGGAATATGGAATCCTGAATACACCCAAGACATAACCATCCTTGGTGGTGATGTGATGATGCTCAGACGGATAGCCATGTAAGGCTGTGCGATCGGCCTAAGGATATTAAAAAAAAATTAATATAAAATATATTTTGTACCTTAAAAGGGCAGACTCACCGTTGTCAATTTATTTTTTATGCTGATATGAGCCTCTGGATTATCGTAGAGTTTATAGAAGTCGATCGGCGCTTCAATAGCTATGGAATAAGCGCCTGTCGCCAGACTGGCCAGGATAATTAAGGCAAGGGTGTTCATATTCCTTCGATGGTTCGATGCCAACTGACTTTGGCCAAACACATGACATTCAGCTTTTGTAGCAGTCCGCAGGAGGTTTAGTTTCAAGTAGCACTTACTATCGGGTATTCGATTATATATTTAGACGGTCGAGATAATGCTTAATTAAGGAAAGCTTTAATCTAAAACCAATAAAGTTGGATTAAAAGTGTTGACATTATAAACTGAATCGAGTCAGGGATGGCAGAAAGTTTGTCCGATATTTTCAATAAGGCGGAATTTTTGTCTATATATAGTGAAACAATCACCTTTTCTAAAAGTTCAATATATAATTAACAAATTTCTTCAAGTCAATCCATTGACCAGTATATACTCTATTAACCGTTAAAATCTCAGTTGATTATAAGACTTGGTAAACCCGAAAATAAGTACATAGATTATAACCAGCAAATGAGGGTGTGCCATAAAGTAATTGATGTTTCCGAATACGATAATTCCGAAAGCTAAACGCGTCACTTGACGCACTTAGAGGAGCTCAACTTATCACCTATTTAAGGCACTTGAATAACCATTTCGATAATCTAAGAAAAGAATTTACCCCCATCGACTTGAGTTGTTTTAGATTATCAAGCCATTTATAGATTTAACAAGGTGTAGCTTTAAACTTTTATGACCTCTACTTATACATGAAAAATGGTTTTTTTTATTACAAAAGTCGGTTAAGTTCTAATGATTTAAATATTTATATAGAGGAGGAGGGTTTCAAGTGCTAAATGAAAATCAGTGGAGCTACTTTCAGCAAAGAAGTGCTTCCACTTATGGGCGTTTCAGCTGTATCCGCTAATGATAAGATTAAGTTCTGATTTACATAAATGTTGATTATGACAACTATAATATATATACATGTTTTGGGCATGGGCTGTATGCCTATCACTTGGTCTCGTACTCATTAATGAAAGCTATTATCGGATCATTGATGTACTGGCGAACTTTCCAGTTGTTGATAAAGTCCATGTGATCCCAGAGCTTATCCTCCATGTGGTGCATCTCCTTGTTGGGCAATGTGGCCGCCAATCTAAGGACATCCTCCACAGCAGACATTTCATCGTTGTCGGAGTACCAGAGATGCATTTTACTTGTAATCAGCTCGGTGGGGTAATCTGGGGGCACTTCACTGCCATACAGCTTTAGATTCTTTTTGGTGCCAAAGTCAAACTGTCGGAAATGCGTCGATTGATGCTCCTGCATGTAGTGCACAATCTGATCTGTAGATACACCAGCAGGCGAAACTCCAGAAAACAACGATTCAGCAGTCTTCAGGGGATATTAAATAGTAATGATAAATATGGTTTACACAATATTTAAAGATTCATACCGCGTTAGTTCGTCCTTCCTCCTTTTGAGTATCCTCAGTCCCGCTACAAAAACTGGACACCACCGAATCTGGTTGACAAACATTATAGAATAAAGCCAGGACAAAGTCATTGTGTGGCAAAAACTCCTGAGAGCAAAAGAGCGTCGAGTAGACGTTGTTATAACCCAGATATGGAGACAAAGTATTGACCATGAAGTCATCCATATTGTCCATAAAAGCCACAGGAGCCAGCAAGTGGCTGGTTTTGATCTTCCTGTTATATTCTGGTCTTGAGGACATCAGAACGAGCATTACCGTGGTGCCCTGGGAATGTCCCACATAGTGAATTCCATCCTGACCCAATCCGTTCTCTGTGGACAATGTATAGTCGATGGCTGCGGCGATATCAAAGTATCCAATCTCGTGCCAGCTGAAACGCCAGAAATTCGGATGCTTCGTGGATAAAGAGGTGTGGTTCCTGGAGAACCTATTGCCCCGCGTATTTCCCAACCAGACATCGTAGCCTGCATCAGACAGGAGGAATGGGAGGCCATCATTCGGTCCCAGACTTGGCCATATATCGGAGCTAGCGAAGAGACCGTGCTGGAGAAAGACAATCGGTCGCTTGACATCCTGATTCTTAAGGTTGTGGGAGTAGGGAATGCGGAAGAGACTTATGATGTAACCATCTTCAGTAGTCACATAATGGCGCTCGGCAGGGTATCCATGTTCCTCGATAAAATCAATCTGAAATAAATTATGTTCAAAGAAGGGATTATAATTAAAATTACGAGTTCCTCTTTGTATATTAATAAATTAATATTTACCGTGGTGGGGGCCTTGGCCAAAGCCAGATGCGCATCTGGGTTGTTAAATAATTTATAGAAATCTGTGAGTGGCGCAGGATTTAGTTCCTCGATCAGTGGAGCACATTGGATTTTTGTTCCCAGAAAAGTGCCTATCAAGGCGACAAAGACTGCGATGTGAAAGGTAGACATTTTGCGACTGAACTACGGCTAGAACCGAAAGCAATCAGCCTTTATAAAGACTTCCGCGAGCCACTTCAGTTAAGTGGTTATATTGATACGAAACCGATCAGCCCATGAACCAATTAAATGGGCATAAACTCGAGTGGTGGTAATGTCATAAACTTTCTCATGTACTCGATTGGGGAGATAACTTTTACACTTTGGTTTCTTAATTTAAAATAGGTTTAAGGGCTTAAGAAGTGTTTAAATAAATGTGAATGAAAAGTGTAGCTTAAATATTCATCTGATGTTTCAAGAACTTTAAAATTTGAATATAAATAAGTATATATTGCCATATATTTTATGATACCATCTCACATAAACGTTCTTTTTTGCAAATAACAGACTTAGTTTATGCTATCCTCATAGTCGTTCATTATGGCTATAATGGGTTCATTGATGTACTGACGTACTTTCCAGTTAACGGCAAAGTCCATATGATCCCACTCTTTATCCTCCATGTGGTGCATCACCTTGTTGGGCATTGTGTCCGCCAATCGGAGGACATCCTCCACAGCAGCCATCTCATCGTTATCCGAATACCAAAGATGCATTTTGCTTGTAATCAGTTCGGTAGGATAATCGGGTGGCAATTCGTTTCCATATATTTTCAGATTCTTTTTGGTGCCAAAGTCAAACTGGCGGAAATGTCCCGATTGATGTTCCTGCAGGTAGTGCAGAATTTGATCCGTTGAGATACCGGCAGGCATGACACCTGCTATCACAGAATTAGCGGTCTTGAAAGAAACAATAAATAATATACAAAATACAAATAACTTTTGATAAATAATTTAAATTTAGTTTGATAATAAGCATACCTTATTGGTTCTTCCTTCCTCCACTTGGGTATTCTCATTGCCGCTGCAAAAACTGGAAACTATCGTCTCCGATCGGCAGACATTATATAATAGAGCCAGGACAAAATCGTTATGTGGCAAAAATTCCTGGGAACAGAAGAGCACCGAGTAGAGGTTGTTGAATCCCAGATAAGGGGACAAACTATTGACCATAAAGTCATCCATGTTATTCATAAAAGCCACAGGAGCCAGCAGGTGACAGGTCTTGATCTTCTTGTTATATTCTGGTCTTGAGGACATCAGGACAAGTATCACTGTGGTACCCTGGGAGTGGCCCACATAGTGAATGCCCTCCTGACCTTTTCCATTCTCCGTGGATAAGGTGTAGTCGATGGCAGCGGCGATGTCATAGTATCCAATCTCGTGCCAGCTGAAGCGCCAGAAATTCGGATGCTTCGTGGATAGAGAGGTGTGGTTCCTGGAGAACCTATTTCCTCGTGCATTTCCTATCCAAACATCATAGCCCGCATCTGAGAGCAGAAAGGGCATAGCGTCATCAGGTCCCAAACTAATCCACCCATCGGAGCTGGAGAGGAGACCGTGTTGGAGGAAGACAATCGGTTTCTTTTCGTCTTGATTCTGTAGGTTGTGGGAATACGGAATGCGGAAGAGACTGATTATGTAACCATCTTCAGTGGTCACATAATGACGCTCGGCAGGATATCCATGATCCTTAATAAAATCCACCTTAAAAAATAAATACAAGCAAATATAATAGAGGAACATGTGAATTATACTAGTTATTACCGTTGTGGGGGCTGAGGCAAAAGATAAATGTGCCTCGGGATTATTAAATAGTTTATAGAAATCGGTGACCTCAGCAGGGTCTAAATTATTATTTAAAGGAACACAATTTCCAGTTGTCACCAGAAAAAAACAACCAACTAAGGCCACAAGGATATCGATGTGATAACAAGACATTTCGCAACTGCACTAAGGCGAGAGTACAGAGCACCTCGTCCTTATAAAGACTACCGCCAGCCACTCAAGTTAAGTGCCCATATCGATACGAGACCAATCAGTTATTAAGGCAATTACCTGAATATAAACTCAAGTGGGAGTTATATCATAAAATTTCTCGCACACTAGCTAATATACGTAGTTTCGAATTTCCCAGTTTTAAGTTATTATTTGACCCAATTGAATTAATGAGATTACAATCGTTTATTGATGGTTGGCTGATTACCAAAGTATAGGTAGAGATATGAGGAAAAGCTATAATGTTCCTTCAAATAAAGCTATAATCCGGAAATACCTTAAGCTTAATCTAAAGTACTTTCAGCTTGACAAAAACTAAGATTTGGTATTGATAATAATTTAAAAAACATCAATTTTGGTTAAAAATATATAACTAAGAGATTCGTAGAAAACACAATATTTCCACGCCTTTTCAAAAATAAATAAGATATAATTTTATTATAGAAATACATACATAAAATATATATATATATATATATAGTATTAAATATTCATGAAAGTGGAAATTTATCATAAACAATTAATATTAATTGGCAAAATGGCCTTAATAAATATTGCTAACAAAAGTATTGAAAATAAGTGTTTCTTTAGCCAAAACCCGTTTTAAGGTTAAATTAACAACGCACTCGGGCTGGAATAGTTTTCATCTGATGATCTTCGCCAACTTTTAGAACTGCCGCCATACCCTGCATAGCATGAGCCTCAATATGGCAATGATATAGCCAAAAACCGGGATTACTTGTAATAAAGCGAACAATAATGTAGCCCAGGCCTGGAATCTGGACCGTATCCTTGGCCACGGCAGCGCTGTCGTCCGATAATCGAGCTAAGCGACCCCTACGATCGAGTTCTCGTATCTATAAAGATTTGAGTTTGTTATAAATCTTCATATAATATTTTGTAGATCACTTACATTCCGCAGATCGTTGAGATTTCCCAGGACTGCTTGTCCGATCAGTCGGAAGGTGTAGCCATGGAAGTGAAACGGATGTGTGCTCTCCATGTAGTTGGCCACCACCATTTCCACAGGACGATAAGCTGGCATTCGAATGACATTCACACACTCACAGAGCTCCCTTTCGCATCTTCGTCCCTCGGCAGCTAGAGAGCTTTTGTTGCAGAAGTAATCATCGTCCTGGTAAAGATGTCTGCCCTGTAGCAAGGATATTGCTGGCAAATTAAACGAAATATCGTCGATCTGGAAGAGCATCTCTCCATTCTGAGCCATTTGAAAACCAAAGCTGGAGTAATAGGTGAGGAACTTGGTGTAACGAGACCAAGGAACCGGCTCTAGGGATTTCAAGGCCACCGTTCCCACGTTGTTATCCTTGTCCAGGGATTGACGCAGGGTTGAGGAGACCGAGGCATTGGCGGAGGCATAGCGGTAATCGTTGACCAGAACGAGATCTTCATCAGAGGTCCTGCCCCTTGGGTTATCCAATATGCTACCCTGTGGCAGCTCAGTGCGAGCCGATCCTCGATAGCTGAGCACTGCACCCTGATAGAGATTGCGACCCTCGCACATTTCATAGCCCCGGATTCGGATCCAATAGTTCTTGACATACTGATTGGCCTCCAGAACGAAATCGAAACGCTCGGCAGAGGTGAGGAAGAAACCATCTGCCAGCACTGGTTCTATATCATTACCATCGGTGCTGATGATCAGGAGCTTGTGCTGCTCGATGGAGAATTCCACGGGACAATTGGTGATGCCATTGAGGATTACCCTCATCCTGTAGCGGTAGCCAGGAGTAACCCGAAGCCTCTCGTAGCGATGACGATTATCGTTATCCGGCAACTGGCTTAGATGATTGCGTCCCTTGCCGTTTATCAGGATATTCCGAACATCCTGGAGATTCCTCTCATAGAAAATATCCTGCACCATTAGGGTGTGCTCCACCAGATCGTAGTCATAGAGCTGGGCATGCTGATTCTCCTGGCGTGTCTGTCGAACTATAAGAGCTCCAGCCACTCCAAAGCCGCGCTGCCAGCCCGCATGACTGTGGTACCACAACGAACCACTGCGATCCACCTGGAACTCGTAGCGTTGCACTTCTCCCGGTTGCAGGGGATATTGAGTGATAAACGGTGCTCCGTCCATTTCGGGCGATCGCTTCAGGCCGACACCATGCCAATGCATCGAGGTGGGTTCACCCAAATAATTAAGGATATCCACAACCACTGTGTCGTTCTCGCAGAGCTCTATGGGAGGTCCTGGCACCATTCGATTCACAGCCATCACAGGATTTGACACACCATCTCCGAAGATGCAATGCTCCGCGGCACAAGCTCTTTCGTCATACTGACACCTTTGGCACTCCGGTCCAAGTCTCTGGTAATTGTGAACCACCAGTTGGTAGTAGCAGCTCTGAGTCTGACCTTGCTGACAGACTCTGCGGCAGGGATGGCGATCAAAGTCCCCAAAGTTGGCCAACTCCATTTGGCTGTAGTCGTTCTTCATATCCAAATACAAGGAGGAAGAGGGTTTTCCCTTAGTGGTTTTATTGCGTGACCAGGGAAACGAAGGCCAATCGAATTTAACCTCTGGAGAAGGCTCACTTAAGGACTCGGCATGAATCCGGACAAGGCTAAGCCCAATCAATAGCACCAATAGCCAAGGGCTGGAAAGACTTTTACTTTCGCGTTTGGACATCGCGAACCGCAACGGACAACTGGCCACTTGGTTGGCGGGCAGCCGGCGAAGAAAGTTTTTGGCCAAAAGGGCGACCCAGACCTTTGCGCATGCGCCGCACGTAGTGGTCATAAAAGCTGACCAGAATTTGATAATATCGAAACGATCGGGAACGTAATGGTAAATGGAACGCTTAAGCAGTCATAAAAAACGAACTACTTTTAATTGGAATATTAAGGTAAACATAATATTGTTTCCCTGTTATAATTTCAAAGAAATATGAATAATAACAAATAAATTATAGAAAACTTGTCACTTAAAGCAAAGGGTACTAAAAACTTAACATAAAACACTATTACCTTTATTTCCTTATGTTACCAATTACATTCTGACAGATTCGAGGCAATAATTAATAGCTTGCCCCTATGAATTTATAAAGAATATTTTATTACAATACATATAAAATTATGTAAAATACAATTTAAATCTCAGCTGGAGCTGCAGATGCCGCAGGAGGTGCTCCAGTAGCCATACCTGAAGAACTGGGGGCCGTGCTCATCAAACTGATCACTCCACAGGCAATGGCCGGACCCACCGAGTTCTCCTCATTCTGATAGGCCAATGCATTGGGCATTGCCTGAAGCGAAGAGGAAAAAACTTCCGCATTTAAGGCCGTATTTAAATCAATAGCTTTGCTGTGGATCACAATGGATCGTCCGATGATACCATTAAAGCCAAACAACTGCAGATAAAGACTCTGAAAGACCGCAGAGATGCTGCCATCGTCCTTGGTGTCTACATTGCCAAGCTGGGAATATGAATGAGTTAAAGATATTTTCTGTAATTTAATTTTAAAGATCTTTAACCACTTACAAAATTATTAGGAAACTGTCCGCCCGTCGATTTGCAGCCATCACTCAGATCCCCAAAGGTGTGTATGTGCAGAGCATGTTTTCCAGGTGGCAATCCCGTAACATTGATTGTAACCTTGATGTCGGAGTTATAGGGTAGCTGCAGGAAGGAGATCATGCCGGCCACACCAGCGCCCTCTCCATCGCCCATCAATTTGGCCCCAGCCTGCCATTGGGGCACCAACTGCTGGATAAAAAAGGGGAAATTGTCGAAAACGTGTTGGACAATTATGGTATGATTATTGGAACTATAAGAGTTAAAAATACTTTAATTTAATTTAAACAAAAACACAGGCATCGAGTTTAGAAAAATATCAGGATGTCATAATCTGAAATATAATGAGCTTCAAGATCAAACAAATTAAACGAATTATTCATTATGTATTACAAATTAAATACTGAACAAAAAACCACTACAATTTAAATAAATTTTAAGTATTTAACTAGAGTTTAAAACGATTAAATATTTAAGTAGTTGTCTATAAAAAATGTGTCCAAAGGGGATTTCTTTCAATAGAAATAATGTAAATAATAGTTGTGGGAAAATAGTCAGACAAAGCAGATAGTTACTTAATTGATCAAATAATTTACAAATTATACTCTGGGATAAAAGCAACATAAAAATAATTTAAAAAAAATCAAGCAACCAAATAAAAATATATATATTATATTATAATATATAATAAATAATACGATTTTGAAAACTCACATAGGTATATCCCAAGTAAGCCGGTTGTGGTGGCAGAAGTGGTCCCAGAAGACCAGCAGATCCCGGTATACCCGCAGGACCTCCCAGCGGCACCGTCAGTCTCTCATACCGCTTCACCTTGGTGCCGGACACCACTTTGATGCCATCATCAAACCGGGTCACATTCACCGGACGTAGACGATCGAGCAGATTTTGTGCACTGCCAGGCACAAAAATGAATCCACTCCCAATTACGAATGCCAGAATCAGTTTAATAAGCATTTTTCACGTATTCGTAAATTAGTAGGGAATATAGAGAATACGGGGAACTCTCACTACCTCTCGGATCTGGGGCTTTGGATGAACTGATCCAAGCCCCTGGCTTGGCCTATCCATGATGACTTCGACACGGTTTTCATGGCGATTGAACACGTTAATTGTCGCCGTCGCTGTGGCTAGGAGAGTGGAGTGGATCTGGTCAGTTGTGGGGTGGCGATATAGTAGTGACCGTATCGCCGGCACAGTTGATGACTAGATTGAACGCTAATGGCGATTGAGTGTCGCGTGTGTGCTTGATGCTTGGTTACCTGGCCCAGGGGCGTAGTTCTGGCGGGGATTGGGGGCAAGATCGTAGTTCGGTATTGAGATGTTAAAAAAGTATCTACACTTGACAAAAAGAAACCAAAAACTATAAAAACTATCAATCTAAACATTAAAAAAAATAACTTAGAAGCCAACCATAATAATTTGATCAAATTTACCCCTTAGGCTTGCATGTTACTGGTAGCATAAAAAGACCATCTCTGATATGAGACCACCTACAAAACTGAAACTAGATCATCATTAGACCATTGAAAGTGTAAAATTTAATCTAATATCCGGAAAGTCACGCGATATTTGCTTATAATGATGGCTTATTTATTACTTGACAAAGAAAAGCATATTAATTGAATAAATTTCAGAATGCTTATTATTGTTAAGCAAGTATTCTTTATTTAAAAAACCAAAAAAAAAAATCTAACATATCAATTTTTATACAAACGGTAACAAAACCCGAAGGATAATATTGTTCCAGGTAAATTGATAAAGAAATTTAACTTTCGGGTCCTTATATTGAACTAACTAATATAATCCTGTATAATGTAGAATTTTGTTGTTTTTATTAGAACATTTCAAGAATTATAGAAATTTTCAAAAATTGTTTTATGTAGCTCCTAATTTTCCAGCCAGTTTCTCGAGTAGGCCTTCAATCCTGTCGAGTCTGGTCGCCACCGTTTCCTGTAAAGTTTCCTGTGAATCGCTTTGATGATTTTTCATCCACTCCAGACTACCCTCGAAGCTTTGCTTCAGTGCCGACTGCTGGACTTCCAATCGGGCAAGTTTCGCCTGGATCACGTGGGAGCTATTAAAGTGCTGCAGATCCTTGATGTGTTGGAAGAGTGGTGTCAAATTGGCAAGGACAAACTCGCCGCACTGTATAGGTGCGTCTTCCAAAAGACATACGGAGCTGGGACTGTCGTGGGATCGAGCCTGGGATCCCTTTAGATATAATGCAATTAATGCATAAAACAAAACTGTTTTTGAATTAAACATTGTATTTTTGAGGATAGAAAACAAGAGGGACACTAGGCTGTGATATTGCTTGAAGACTGAATACAGGATTGAGGAGAGACCCAGGTATTTATAGTATTTCCCAGAGGGTCCTTAAGAGATTATTTCAGCTACCTAACCTTTTGCATATGTTGCAGTTATCCTGCAGCAACTGTTTGCCAGATGGGAATATCTTTAATTTTCCTAGAATACGTTCAATGTATACCAGATACATGCATACATAAGTTTAAGTACCCTTAATAAATTCCTCTCATGATTGTTAAAATGGTTACTATTTGCTTTGAATTATCATTTAACAAACAAAAATCATCGTTTCTCGAATTTCCAATTATAATTATTACCTTTTAGTCATCGTTCTTTTAAATTTGATTATATTAAGCCCACTTACCCGACTATAAGCAGACATCAGCTAATCGTAAACCCATTGAAAGTGAAAATAGCTAACCCAGATATCCCCAAAAGCGGCAGTCGACACGCGAAATTTGCTGGCACAGAGATGACATATATAGTTTATATTTTTTAAATGACTGTCCATTTGCAATTATAAACACATTCATGCGGTTTGGCAATAAATTAAACTGGGTTGTGTGTGAGCGCACAAGAGTAAATTAAAAGTTTCAGTCGTTATAGGTCTCCCATTTGCTGGCTTCAAATCATGTATCGACACTTATCGATAGCCGCCTCGATGACCCCCGCGTCCACCATGTCCGCCACGCCCGCCTCCACGTCCTCCTCCGTTCCATCCTTGTCCCTGTACACGTCCACTGCCGCCAATCCATTGCTGGTCGTTCCTATCATGACTTCGATCGCGTTGGTCGTGGTGTTGAGAGTGATGTTGCTGCTGGTACTGCTGCTGATGCTGTTGCTGATACTGCTGCTGATATTGCTGTTGTTGCTGCTGAGGTTGTTGCCAGTTGCCGCCTCCTCCTCCTCCGCCGCCGCCTCCTCCTCCACCGCCTCCTCCACGACCTCCCCTGTAGTTGCCACCACCACCACGTCCGCCTCCCGGTGGAGCACCAGCTCTCTGCTGCTGCCAAGAGGGCATCTCAGGGGGTGGCGGAGCATGCTCGTTGGCCCGACCTCCGCGATCCGGAACGTGTCCCATCACATGCTTTTGGATCTTGGAAGCTGTATTCTTGCGCACATTCGCCGAGCTAGTCTTCTCAATAATGGCCAAGTCGGAGCGAGCCGCCAGTAGGGCCACCAGGTCGGTTTGATCGCCACCCACTCTGAACTGATCAAGCTCCCGCATCTTACGCTGGAACCGCTCTGTTATCTCGTTTGCACGCTGGCGCATCGATTCAGACCACTGGAAGCTTTGCACGGTGGCCTCCAGTCGCGTGGTCATCATTTGCCGGCGTAGATTATACTCCGCCTCCAGCTCGCGATGCATGGACTCCAGAAGGCGCCAATGTGCATCGGTCAGAGGCTTCTTGACCTTCAGCAGCGGCTCGCTGACAACCAGTCGATTGGTCTGCTTCAGCTTCTGGTCCAGACGGGGCGTAATCTGCTCGAACAGCCACTTGGTGGTTATATTCTGGGGCAACTCACCAAGCTGCAGATCCTTGGCCAGCTGCTCCACAACCTGCTGCACATTGGAGCCACTAGCCTTGCTCCGTTTGCAGGGCGGACCGACGGGCTGCGCCTTCAGCACCATCTTTGTTGTCATTAGCTCGGAGGTAAGGTACTCCAGCAACTGTACTAGCATCTGCCTGCTTCGGAATCTTTCCTCCATGGCACCGGAAACAAGGCCGCGATAGGGACAACCCAGTTCGGTCAGCAGCAGGGAGAGTTCGAAGGTGAACTCGTCGTGATCCCCGCTGCCGGAGCTGACACGCTCATCCGTCTTTCGAAGCACATGCAGTTCGTGGGCCAGCCAATGGATGACGGTCCGTAGGTCGGGGCTCCCGATTCCAGCGTCCAGCGCTCGGCTAAGGTTCTCCTGTTGCAGGCAGGGGCCTTCATAGGCCAGGGCCTGCAGCGAGTCAACCACGTCTAGTTCGAGCTCCATTTCCGATCGATTTTCCCCTCTTTCAAGTGTCAATTCGATTTTTTGTTCGGAAATATATGGTGACCGGCAAACTAGTGGGATTGGTGTTACCAGCTCAGTGCAGTATCTTGAATATTTAAAAATGGAAAGCTTACGGAGCTTGCAACTAGCTTATAAGCTTTAAAATAGCGTATTTTAACATTAATTACTCAATCTTTTGTTATATTGGTTCATCTAAAAAAAATGGTGTTAAAATAAAAAAATTAATAAAATAAAAAATACTACAATTATCTCATAATAATGTCCCCGTGTTAAAATTTACATTTTACAAGTATACATAACAATTTTACAAGTTAACATTTACATGGGGTAGAATTCTCGCGTCGGTAACAAAGAGCCCAATTTGAGAAAGCAGGAAACGTTCGGGAATAATAATTTGACAAAGCAGTTGCCAGCAGAGCGGCAAACCCCAACAAATTTGAATTTTTGAAATTATTATAAAATAAATTATAGACAGTTAAAGGGGAAGCTTAAAAGTGTAAAGAATTAAACAATAAAACAATTAATTTAATGTAATGGTGGAGTGGATTTCAAAAGTAAATCTCTTAATAAAAATAAAAAGTATTGAGATATACTCGCATTGTATAGGTTCTTGTACTCTTAAGTGATACTTGCTCATTAAGTAAACTATTGTTTTTCAATTAATCTAAAGCGTAAATTAACAGAGATCTCTCGTCAGCGAGCAGATGAGAGCTACCCGAGGCTTAAGAGCGCCACGAGTCATACCGCGGCCATAATTGGCGTTGCTTTAGCTATTTTCACTCTAGATCTAGCGTTTGTAATTATCAAATTATTTTATTTTCAGACAGAATCTGGCTTAATTTTTGCTTAAATTTATGTAAAACAAATAATAATTGTATACATTCTCGGTTATTGCTTGATTTTTAGAGTTTCTTTTTTATATTTTGAACGTTTTAGCTTTTTTTGCACAGAATCTAGCTTATACCCATGCAGATTGCAATTAGATCAATATCAATATTTTCGTGTAAAATATTATAAATTATAAATACTTTTATGAAAAAATAACAAATTAATGTCAACTTTCATATCTATATTATATTTAAGTTTTACAATTACAGTTTTCTATTTTCCTGTATATAGTTCTTCTAATATTTTCGTCCGAATTCAATATAATTAATAGCTAAATTCTGAAATAATGAAAAATAAATGAATATATTAAAAAAACAGAGATTATATTTTTGTTTTTATTAATTATCCAATTGTCCGTAAGCTGTTATATGATGTATTCGTCTGATTTACTTAAAATTAAAACAAATTCTAAAAAAAAAAATGCAAAATAGTAGTGGCTCAAAGTACATGAAAATGTGCAACAAGTAATTCTAGGTACAAAATAATTAAAATATGTAGTCACCATATATCTTAACCACTTCCCACTCAAATCATTTATGATTTTATGTTGAAAACTCATTATAAAAACCAACACTTATTTTCACTTTTACATAACTTCATTTATTATAGTTTACCAATTTCAATATATATTTATGTATATATACTTTATATTTATAAGTATAGTATATATATGTATGTATTTTTTTTTTTTTTTTTTGTAAAGCAGGAAGTTTTAGGATTCGCTTGAGTTACACCTTTGGTGCCACAAAAATCTTATATTTTGTCGATTTGCATTTTGTGTTTTTGTTTTATGTTTTCTGTTTCCGTTACTATACATACAACATTGATGTACTTAAAATGAACACACACATTTAGCTATATAATGTATACATAATATTATTCAGTTACTTCATGTCTTCCAAATAGAGGTACTAAATTAAATAGAAACGAGTAGGAAAGAAGGTTACAAAGCAGAAGATAGAACAAAAGAAAAATAAAGAAAAACACAAATTTCCTCTCCTTCAGGACACTAAAAATGGCACAAAAATTGATTCCGCATGGGAAAACCACAACAACAATCAAAAATTAGGTGAAGCTGTACTGATTATCTACGGCCCGTCCAGTGCATTCGGCGCCTCCCCCCGATCCCGATCCTCCGCCGACAGCTCCGCCGCTGTTGTTGCCACTGTCGCTGGGATGACGCGATTGTCCCGCCGGATGCTGCTGCTGGTGATGATGGGCGGCCGCCTGCAGAGAGGCATTCGAGGCCCGCAGATGCGGCTGATCCAGGAAGCTCTGACCGGCGGCCGGCGGCGATCCGTGCACGGTTAGCGTTGTGGGATCCAAATGGAAATAGACTTGCTCCGGAAAAAAGACGTGTGTTGGCTCCTGTGGCAGTTCAATTTCATTTGTCTTTAGGCGAACACTAAGATTCATGGTAATCACTTCGTTGCACTGCTGGACGAGAATAAGGACAGTTTAGTTAATTATAAACACAATTTTAAAGGGTCAAAAAGGGGTGTGGTGAAAAATGTGGCATGCAACAATTAACTCAAGCATTCAAACTAAACACAGAAAATAATTTAAAAAGTAATTGATTGTAGCTTTTTCAAATTATTATCTCAAAATATCGATTTGGAAATATACTGATTCAGGTTTATCCTACATTTAGGATAAGAATTTTAATAAAACAAATTTATAAAAAGTCAAGATTAAGAAAAATAAATACATTTATAGAACAAAATTATAGTCTTTAAAAAACTTTTAGTATGTTTACGTTAAAGAAGTTCCACAAAATAAATATAATCTGGTCTTGAAATGTACATAAACCCAATATGGATGTTACATTAAATATGTATGTTATTCCTAGACTCAGTATTTGCAGACTTAATTTACTAGGCTTAGGGGCCTGCTTCAGAGAAAAATTTCAATTGCGATACTACTCATTCTTAAGTACCTTTCACAGTTGCAATGAAATGATAAGAACTTAATATAAATCAAAGTAAAATAAAAAACCATCACTGACACTGAATTGACTCCAAAATTTTGGCTATCTCACATGTCTCGGCGACGGATGGCCACCGCCAGCAGCTCCTGCGCCAGCTCCCGCTCCCGATCCCGTGTCATTCGATCGCGATCCCTGGCCATTCATGTTTCCATTTCCGTTGGATCCTCCACCCAGATCGTTAAGCTGTCCGGAATCGTGAGCTAATCCGCCCAAAGAGGCCGATGTGGGATCGTTCAGTCTGCTGTTGTTGTGCACCCAGTCGGTAAGCGTTACATCCGAGGTGCCGCCTGATTCTAGTGGTATCGGGTTGTGGCGGAAATGTTCGAGCATCTCCTGGATCGAGGGGAACCAAAGGTGTTGCACCCGGCACTGCCCCTTCTCCGAGATTGTGAGCCGCAAGTGCTTGGCCCGCCCTTGGAAGTTGAAGGTTAGAACGAACTCTCCGCGGCGCGTTTCGCTCTGGCGGACCAAAAAGTAACCATGGCCAGCTGCCTCGGACTGTAGAACCATGCGAGCCGCTTCAGACCTTGTCAGAGTGCCATGGAACCAGGGGAACAAGCTCATCTCGGCGGTCAAGTCCGCCACATTCACATCCGCGTCATTCTCAGCGAGCTCAATGCCATCAAAGTTGCTGGAGGCCGACAAGCGCTGCTCCCCTCTGTGCGGTCTGACGGGTATATCCGGCGGACCCGAGGGCGGAGTGGTGCCCAGTTCGTTGATGGCATTCAAGTCGCTGGCGGACGTTGCGCCTCCCTGGCCCAGTGCACTGTCCGCGGATAGGGACGAGGCCAGAGGAGCACCCACAAGATTTCCATTGGAGCCGCCCTGCTGGTGGTATTGCGGATTCTGTATGGCCCCAATGGGATTGGGATTCGGATTTGTGGGTGATGTTTGCATGGCTGCCGCCATTACGCCATCCGATTCGATCAGTGGCTGTTGCGTGGGCGGCGTTCGCATGCAGTAGCGGATGGTGGCCAACCAGCTGCGCATCTCCTCGGCATTCTCCGCCTCGATCACATACTCCATGTTGTTGTCCGCTTTGAGGACAAAGGTATTCAGCCTGTCAGGCATCTCCATTTCCGTGGTTTCTCGCGCCTCCGAGATGAGGAAACAAAAGACTCCACTACGGGGCTTCGTCGACTTGGGAGGCGTGTAGAACTCGAGCATGTATCCGCCGACAGCCTTCACCAGAGCCAGTCGACATTTCTCCCACTTTTGAGAGCCTGTCGGCTGGTCGAGACTCTCCGGTGTCAAGTTGTTAACGATGCCCTCCTTGCGGCACTCCACCACGATCTTAGCCAGCTTGGTTTTGCTCTGCTTACTGCCTCCACCGCCGCCGTCCACATCGTCGGAGTTCTTGTGGAAGAAGGCCTGCATCAAAGAGAACTTGGACAGTTAAAACAAGTATGGACAATATAGACGGAGTTTCCGACTATCAAGAGCCCGGTATTCCATTAACAGTAAAGCTATAAAAGCAATGTCGCAATGTTTACTGTATAATAATACGTTCTTCATAAATCTTGATATAAACTTGAGTTATCAGGCCATCGGAATTCTGCATTAAATGCCAAGAATGTCACAGTGAATGTGCTTTATCTGTATATTTATACCTTTCGAGTCTCTTGATATCTATTATCAGCCCGGAACTCGACAGATGGATTATTTGGCATTATCAGGAAATATGCGGATGTCTTGAATGATTTAAATAAATGTTTTATACCTTGGAATTCGCTATATCTAAAAGTTAAACGAATTAAACCTTAAAATGGTGTCAAAAAAGGAATTCTGTTACTATAATTAGGCTACTCATTTATATCAAAACTACAAGAAACCAAACATTTTCTTTTATCCACGACTCACCTTGCCTTTGCGCAGTCCCTTAAAGGAGAGTCGTCTCAACAGACTCTTGGAGAGCAGTCGCGGTACCTCATGCTCCTCATCAAAGTCCAGAGACCCGGCACCCGTCTTCAAAGTGCTCCGCCGCCTGAAGAACTCTGTGTCGTAGTGCGCCGAGAAGGATTCCACAAACTTCTGGGCAAAACTTCGGTGCTGAATGTTACGCGCCTCCTCTGGCGGCAGATTGCCATTGATGTATGTGATGCAGGCCTTGGCGAAATCGGAGGCTGCCACCCTGGCATGCCGTTCGCAGAACTCTTCCCAGCTGGTGCCGCCGTACGCGTAGGAGGACACGCCCATGGCGTTTCCGGTTCCAATTGGCGCCGGGATGAGGTCACTGCCACCAGCCACTGCCGCTGCCGCCGCCGCTGACGAAGATGTTCCAAGGCTGTGGTGGCTGCTAGCCGATGTGGGTCCAATGTATCCGCCCGCGCTAAAGGCGCTCGAGTTGGCTCCGGTGCTATTGCCACCCATCTGACCAGGATAATGGCCCTCCAGCTGCTGCTGCTGCTGTCGTTGATGTTGTTGTTCCTGCTGCCTCTGTCGTCGGCGGTTCAGGTTCCGTTTGCTGCACGAGTTACCCAGCTGGAGTCCGTTTTAAAAGAGCTGCAATGGAGACAAAGGTGCTGCTGCGGCTTAGTCATTCGGATTTCAAGGAAGAGATTAGTAGCAGACTCATATGTAGGTAGATGTGTCTCCTTACAGAATGCTTAAACTTTGGGATACTTTTAAAAAATACATATTTATTAAGGGGACATAGATTTTTACAAAAAATAAAATGAACAAGAAATCGAGGAATATTCTGTGATTTATGAAGTAATAAATATCTACTTCTGCAATAAAAACATATGTATATAATTTTTAAGTGTAGCACTCAATTTCAAGTGTCTGACTCACAGGATTAAGTTAAAAAATAAAGATAACTTTACAGTTCCGGGAAAGTGGGGAATTTTAGCGCCATACTGATTGTAAGAAATTTGATAAGAATGCAATTAATAATACATTTACACTCACAATTTTATTGACTAAGCAATTAATTGAAACAAAAAACGTCCTTCCATTAAGAACAAATAAACTCATTAGTACACATATATATTTTTTAAAGACGTAATTATACAAATTTTAAATATTAATTGTGTGCGTAAGAATATTTAATTAACTTATTATCCTAATTTCTAAAAAGTTCTCGGTATTATTTATAAACTCTTGTTTATACTTTAACTATTGTTAAATGTTGATCCAAAACAAAAATCATCTTAATCTTTTTAATCCTTTTTTTCTTCGACAATGAAAAACGAAAACAAACTTGCGGCGTAGCCCACACAAACACAGTCGCGCACTCCCCCGTACGCGCACACGCACACACACCCACACCCGTGCGGCGGTGAAAAAATTTCCCACAGGAATTTCCACGCCTACGCCACATCCGCATGCACCTTGACCTGCCAAAGGAATCTCGTCCTGTCCATATTCTTCGAATAGCACTAATCAATGTCGCTAAAACTCACAGTAGGGATTGAAAGTGATCTAAATGCACGGCATCTTCTTCAACATTTATTTTTTTACACAAATTGCATGTTATCTCGCTCACACACTCACACACTTGTACGCACTGCAGACTGCTCGAAATATATATTTTTTTGCGTTGTTGCGCTCGAGTTTCAGGTCATAATTGTATGCCGCGCGCGAGTATTTAGTTACAGTCTGCTTTCAATATTATTTAATTATGGTTTGTTTTTATTTTTTGCGATGCAAAACGGAAAATTACTCGGGTAGCGGTGGTGCGCAAAACACCGATGAAAGCATCGATGCATCGATGTTTTTCTAATTTGATAACTATCAATGTTTTCAATCAATCAATCGATGTTTCTATGCCGATGTTTCTGCCGTCACTATCAACCTAAAATTAAAGTTTTATTGCCAGACCTCTTGAAGAAAATCGCGCCCGTGTAACAAGTGGCCAGACTGCGCATATAATTTCACGTACGACATTAATAAGGGCATTCAATTAAGTTTGACTAACAACTTCCATTATTTTAATACCTTTGCAAAGAATTATAATTTAAGTTAGAGGTTTGCAATACAAACTATAAAAAAATATTCTTGATCTGCAGCAAAAGCAGAATCGGTATAGCCATGTCCGGCCGCTTTTACGCAAAGTAGTCTCTCATTTAAAAAATTATGTGAATGAAATTTTGCCGAATGTCTTCTATATAATCTCAGTCGTATATAATTCGGAACGTGCCGGATCGGACGACAATATACTAAAGCTTCCATAGAAACGATCGGACAATTTTTATAAAAAAACATTTTAACTTTCTACAGATTTTCATAAAATTTGACTAAGAGCCATTTTGTATTATTTTAGGATTTTAGTTTATGAAAATCGGAATACTATATCATATACATAGCTGCCATAGGAACGATTGAGAAATTAATACAATTAAAAATTAACCCTTTTCAAAGAATTTCCTCAAATTTAAGATAAACCCATTTTATTTTGTTTTAGAAAACTATCGCTAAATGTAGAGGAAAATGCAAAAATATATTCAACTTATTAAGACATTTGTCAATAAACAACTAATCAATTAAAAACAATAAGTTTTTGTTTAAATCTCACATTTTTATTGTTTCTATACGTTTCGAAATTGCATTTACTTATAATTAATATGTAACTATCGTTTCCATATGCGTACATTAATTATTTATTGTTAGCTGCATTAAATGTAAATAATTAAAATTTTTGAAACTTAATTGTTGTGAAACACACGCAGTGCAACAGTTGTCTATATTTAATCTTTATTTTGTCGATTTATTGTTTGCAACGAACACATGCATTTTGGCAAAACATTTGATTGTGAGTGGATGTTGTGTGGAGTAGTGGGTGAAGGGGCAAAGGATAAAGGCAGGGCAAAAGAGGACACCGACTGAGGACGGAGATGGACGTGTGAAACGAAAACGCGAATTAATGTGTATGAAGGCGAGCTTACTAACTATTATTTGTTGCATGGTGGTTTGTTATCAATACATATACGTATATATATTCTCATCGTTATGCATTATCAACTTAAGTATATTTACAGAACATTTTGCCCGGAACAGATTTTGTGAGTGGATGATGATTGGATGCGGCTAAAATTCGAATCTCAAACTGTTTTCTAGTCTTTCGCTATCTTTTACAGATATGAACTATGAACTGTAACTAATATTTCGCTTGATCTTTGCTCTACTCGCTAATTATCGGCATGGTTTGAGACTTTAAAGCCAATCTGAATGAACTATGCAAATAGAAAACTTTCCGCTTACGCTAAAAACTATAATTACTCGGTTTTTGTTTTTATTTCACTATGAAAACGAGGATCACCTAACTTAAAAACGAAACTTAGTTAAGTTGAGTTAAAAAATTCATACTCAATACGTTATTTAAGAGAAAAACGTTAGTATTAGATCTTATATATGTGTGTTTTTCTTCAATTTGTTTGTTTTTCTTTGCTTTTTAGATAGAGTACACTCAGACTTCCAGTTGTTTTGATGGTTGTTGCGCGATAAAGGGTTCGCTCCACATGCGACGCAGGTCGCCCTGTAAGACAAGAACATATTGATATAGGTATTGGTAATTGAGAACTAATAGACAGTACCTTTAGATAGGCCATCAGCAGGAGGGGCAATAACGTAAACGGCACTAGATACAGAAGTGCCGGCTGAGCCGCTTTAAAGACTTCGGAGCTGACCGTTGCCGTTAGCAGACCCAAGAAATAACTACAAGAAAATATGACATAAATATTAATATATTTAAAAATACTTTGATTAGATACTACTCACCCCAATAAGGAACAATGAAAGTATGTCAGCCGGGAGCCAACTCCCCTGGGTGGCGACAATGTGGGATCCGATGTGACGCCCTGTGACTTCTTGTACGCATCGTACCGCAGGACGAAACACAGCAGCAGTCCGGGCATCACGACATCGCCCAGTCCCAGCATAGAGAAATGACCCGTGTTGTGGATGCTGGGGAAGACCAGCTTTCCAGGCAGATTCAGCTTCGGCGTGTCCCGCACAATACCACCCAAGTTTAACTTGCGAGCCACGATGCCAACTGGATTTTCGGCGGGTCGCGTGGCCACCTTGACCATCACGTTGGTGCTAAAGATATACGAGGAGAGGAATACCCAGAAGACGTCATAGATAAGCAGGCCGGTCAACAGCAGCGTGGACACCTTCAAGCTGGGCAGACGCACAAATGCAATGAAGGCCACACAAAGGCCCATTCCCATAGCTGCAAATGGGGGGAAATTATTATTATCTAAGCTCCTAATGGGCTAATTTTGATTAAAATTCTCACCATCCATCAGCAACCAGTGGCCGGTGAGCACCCAGATGCACACAATCGACACTGAGAGCGTAAAGCTAAAGAGCTCAGCCGCCGTGAAACGGCCACATATGCCAAAGGAGAAACGCTTGCCGTCCGTACACGGCCGGATGATGTACTGGCACATGGGCAAGAGCAGGAAGGCCAGCGCCACGGTGGCAATGACTGTAGGGGGATATTGAATATAATAAATAAATTGTATTTTATCAAATAAGATTATATACTCACTTGCTGTACAAACTGCGAAGAGCAGCTGCATCGAGTCAAAGAAGAAGAACATGATGAGCAGGGATATGGAAGCTCCGAGGGGCAAACACAGAGCATGCATCGTGTCCAAGGTGGCGAATTTATCCGCTGTGAAAATGGAAACTTAGAATGCATAAAATTTTCCCTAGTATTTTTGGTTGAGCTTCACACATACTTGGCTCCTTCTCGACATGCTCGCCGGTGAGCAGGTTGGTCATCGATTCGTTGCGCTTCTTTTGCTCCCGCTCACGAGCCTCCTGCTCGATGTTGAGGGACCGAAAGCTGCCGTATACGATCAGCAGCATCGAAATGAGGCAGGTGGAGACGCGCGACGAGTCCATTACACTCGATACTGTCCAGTGGAGTTCACGGTACTCTCCGCCAGCTCCGCCGCCGCCCGCTGCCGCTGCTGCTGCCGCCGCCGCTGCCGCTGCTGCACCGCCACCGAGATTTCCGGCACCCACAGTTTGCGCTCCCAGACCGCCGCTGCCGCCGGCGCCGCCGTGCGACATGCTCCCTCCGGATCCTCCGGATGCGATCCGCTGATAGGCTCGGGCTGGTCGCTTCTCCGCCCGTGCTCCGGAATTATCGCTGAAGTTCAGATAGCTACTCCGCTTATCAGTCGACCTGCGCCGGGTTTATCGCGTTTTATGTCGCTGCGCCGCTTCAATCTAAACACGGATGAAAAGTGAAATTTGTTTTGGTTTATTGATTTAGCGATAACTGTTCTGTTTATTGACCTTATCGCAGGTAACCCCCAGCTGATGCGCCGCTTGTGTTTGCCTCCCAGAGGTTCTTTAAACAGCTGCGATTAGGGGTTTTTTTTTCGGAGCCAACACTTCACTCCCAAGGTTTCTTTTCCACGACTTTGCCTAAAGTCGAGCTCGGAAACCTTGGGGTCAACTTTCACACAGCACACACGAATTAGGCAACCAAAATAAATAATAACGTTCTTGGCACACAGAAAAATAACGTGTGGAAGGTTTAATGTGACAAATTGTAATTTTATATGTGTTAATTAAATGCTATAATTAACTAGATATTGTATCTTTTCCTAAATATATACTATCAATAATAAACGATATATGAGGAAAAATGAATCATAAAACACTTGAGAAATTTGTTTGATTTAGATTGTTACTCAAGTGTTTAATAATCAATATTTATGTATAATTCAAGACCCTGCACAAGTGACCCTCAGATTTCAAGGGAAAAAAGTGAAAACCAAGTTAATTCAACATTAGTTTTACAACGTAAACTAAACAATATAATAAACCAAGCAACTTGAAACGTTGGATTATTCTGGAGAAACCGAACCGTAAAACTAACTTATTTCGGAGAATGTTTACTTTATATCGTTATAAAATTAGCAGAAGCAATGTAAATGCAGCCATGCACATGTTCATATCAAATAAACAAAGGGTCTATATATAGAAACTTTATTTTATTTCTTCCCCATTTCATATTTACAGAGGTACACTGAGAAATAGAAATCATAATGTACAAAGTTTTCATGCGTTATTAACAGATACTCAGGAATGTATGTTTTATTTTTATAAAAAGAATTCATTTTATCAAAAACACGACTACTAACTTCTAAACAAATTTTAAAATATTCTATACATCAGTATAATCAGTTTTTACTGTGTCTTTACACCCATCCCTTCTAACATCAGGTTTGGATAGGCATATGCCCTAAGGTAAAAAATAAACAAGTGTGTATGGAAACTGTGTGAAATAATAACAGTTTGTCCACATGGGATTTACCTTGCTAAAACAATAACAATTAACCGTCAAGAAAGGGGCCATAAAAGACTGGGAAATTAGAATAAATTATAAAAGCGTTACCCAGTTTCCTACGCTGCCAATTCCATTGTTATTGCCACAAATGTTACACACACACAGACAAACACATACCACTGCCCCACTCGCACACCCACGCCGCCGGGTTGTTGCACTTGGGGAATGTTAAGGCGCTGTTATTAGCGCGGCGCTCTGTTAACTCGCTAATGATCATTATCATATTATAATATTATTATTACTATTATCTATTATAATAGAGAGACAAAACCGAGACAGTTGCCAACTTCCTTGGTTGGTGCTGATTTGCTGTTTCGGTCCGTGTTGCCTCAGTTGTTGTTGTTGCATGTTGCCAAGTGCCGTTGCTCGCACTAATTCATGTTGTCTGCATGTTGCAAAAGCTGCACTGGTATTTGTAATTGTATGTGTGTGGAATGCAAATCATTGAAATATACGAACAGCAGGGGTGAAGCATTTGCATACATAAATGTATGTACATTTATATAATCGAAATTAAGAGCATACAAAAGATTCAAGACAAAATTAAGTGAAAGAGACAATTGATCGCTTAAAAGATTCTATTGGAAATTATTCTGCTGTCTTTATTATTTTACTTTTAATTGCAGCTAATGTAGTGTACACAATTGTTGCAATTCTGTGTCGGTATTTGTCCCCCTTTTTCCTGCCTTCTGTTCTCTCCCTCTAACTCTCTGGATGCAACAATTTAAGTTTCCCACACACTGCACAAAACAGACAATGAGGGAGACGGAGGTGGGGTGAATTGTTAACGAGCGCTAATTAGAATTAAATTATGTGCGGGGTGTAAAGTTACACTCTCCAGAGTTGACACAATTTGTGGAGACTTTTCACAGTTTAAAGCGGTTACCGAACGTGAACTACATAATTGGCCAAACTCATTGAGAAAATGCCGCTCACATCACACCAACACACTCGCACAGCAAACACACACTCGCACGCATACACAAACACTTTCTAATTCGAAACGCCCCGAAAAGGGGGAACAAAAATAAAAGAAGTACAGGCAATTGGATTTGCTGTAACTGCCCACGACGAATGTGAAAGTGAAATTTGCCAAGATACAGAGAAGCAGCAGGAGCGCCGCAAGGGGATGCATAAAAGGGGGTTCCTAAAAGACTACATTAGTTTTATAGACAAAACTATTTAATTTTAAGACACTTGTTCTTTAAAAATTGAATACTTTCCAAATATAAAAGTATTTAATTAGGTTTGGAAACTAAAAATCTAACAATTACTACCTTTTTTAACTCGAAAATTAGTCAAATAAAATACATATCAATATCCAAAACTTTGTATCTTTAACTTCTTCAATTATTAACTTTAAAACGTTGTTTCACTGTGTACTGGACGCGGAACGACTAAAATCAAGTGCGTAAAGTAAGCGAAAAAGTTTAGTTGTTTTTCATTATGCAAACGGGAGAGGGGGTGGTGCAGAGTGGTCGGCGGAAAAGCATGAGAGGGAGGGGGCAAATACAGGCTTTGCAGCGCTTGAGAAATTTTTATTCGAATGGAGCTTAGGCTGCGCTTTAAGGTTTTTTTTTTTGTACGTTTCTTCGTGTTTGGTTACACTCCACTTCATTTCACAAAACTCCAACTTCGCTCCACTGCGTAACAAAATTACAAGACACACACACACATATGTACTTATGTATACATATATACACTTGCAGCGCACCAAACAACAACACGAAAGAAGGAGCAGCGAAGGGAATGGGGAAAAAGACTTGACTTAAATTACACGAACATAATAAACGTATGAATGAACACTGTGCATATCAGCATTTATACTCTATACTCCCTAAAGTATTTGGGGGACTTCTCGCTTACTTTGCCTTCACATTCACATTCGCATTTGGCTGTATTTTCCTCTGCTTCTGCTTTTTTGTTTTTTCTCTTGCACCGATTTTCTTTTTTTTCTTCGCGAGAAAACTTTCAGCTCCGCTACATTTTCACGCACTTTTCACTGTCCTGCAGTCGGGGGGCCGCTCTTGCTGCACATTTTCACGAGTTCTTTCCGACGGCAGCTGTTGTTTAACGTTGGACCATTTAAATGTATTTCTATTAGTAACTAATCGCGGTGTTGTTTTTGTTGTTTTTCGCAGTGTGCCCGCCGGGGTTTCCGTATATTATCACAAATTCGATGCAGAAAATATCCTAAATTAAGAAGTATCGAGTACTACTTCAACTATCGATTACAATGTTGTTGCCGGACTGTAAGGTCTCGAGCGTTTTAGTTTCATCAAGGTGGCAACACCAGCATCGCAAATAGCGCAACTCAGGCCAGGATTTTTAATGTAAGAACGTGCGGTAACACTACGTGGCCAAATATTATTGTGAAAAGTAATTTGGAATAACAAATTGGAAGTTGGCGTTTATATTGACCATAAATAACCAGAAGCATCAAGGAAAAGCCATGTCTAACCAGGAGACCCAGGTGTCCAGCCTGCCGATGCCGCCGGAACGCTACATCAGCAACTACACTGAGGAGAACATTCGGCGCAACCGCGCTCCCCGTCCGCCGCCCCCGCCATCACAGCATGAAGTATATAGCATGTTTGGGATCCAGTACAACAACGACGAGATGATTCGATCCCTGGAGTCGCAAAACATCAAGCGTCTGATCCCCATACACTTTGACAGGCGCAAGGAGCTCAAAAAGCTGAACCACTCGCTGCTGGTCAACTTCCTGGACCTGATCGACTTCCTCATCCTAAATCCTGACAGTATTCGACGCACGGAGAAGGTATTGAAAGTTCTGAAGGAATAGATGTTTACATTCATAAATTCCTATGTTTTAATATATTTTGAACTATAGTATAAATATCTTGCTTGCTCTTTTAGATAGACGATCTGAGTCTGCTCTTCGTGAATATGCACCACCTGCTTAACGAATTTCGGCCACATCAGGCAAGGGAAACGTTGCGCGTCATGATGGAAATGCAGAAGCGACAGCGAGTGGAGACAGCCACACGCTTTCAGAAGCACTTGGAACGGGTACGGGAGATCGTGAACACCGCCTTCTCAGCCCTACCTGTTCTTGGCGATGACGATGAGAATGGTGGGGCTAAGATCAAGACGGAGGTGGATCCGTTAGAGACAAATGCTGCGGCCAAGAATGATCCCAGCTATCAGCACGATCGTATGCTGTGCAAGCTGGTGGACGCCATCGAGTAAGCTAGACGGACAGAAGACTGGACACGGGGCATGACTTTGTGTCGATCATTGTGAATGGCTTGAAAAGGAGGAATACCTTATATATTTATAACTGCTTTTAGTGTAAGAAATAAAACCCTAAACTGTGTGTGTGTGATGAGAATCTTCCACGTCTTATGAGTAATTCATTCACTTGCTTTGCTCCCAAATATGTTTAGTCATGATGGAGATAAGTTTAACGCTGATAAGATCACCCCTCTGTCGTGTGGCCGAAGATAAAAGTAAGGTAGTTGTCATTTAAGCATCCACAAATTTCACCATTGAAATGACGTAGGCTGTTTGGAAACGTGATAATTTTCCACACAACTTATGAATTTTCTATGGTTTCTTCTTGAATCGGATTTATTAAGGTTTCAAAATCCGTTTTTATAAACTATTTAGGCTGACGAATTTTAATGTTACTCAGCAACGTGAAGATCACACTTATGGATCTTGATCGTTGCTACCTCATGTCTTAATGATGGTATCTCCGCAGAGAGTTCTACAGTACGTTTCGCGGACATAATGACTTCTACTGGAACACTTAATATATATGGCTTCATTATACTCTGCAACATACAGATGCATTAATCTTAGTTTGGAACTCTTTTCGGAGTATTATGATACTAGCACAATTTGCTTTAATATAATCAAAATGAGAGTTTTAATTTTGTCATCCTTACAAAACTTTGAAAAATTAAATTAAATATGTCGTAATTTTTTTTTATCAAATATTTACAGATTAAGATTTTGATTGCAAAAATATATATAAATGTATAAGACTTTTGGCAATCATTGGCTTTTTGGATTTCGTAATTGTCATGGTTAATTCCATCCTTAATTCCATGGTATCATCATCGATGTGAGCTCCTTCCTGCATATCCAGATGTATTGCATTGGTCAGGAGATATTTTTGGATTCGAAGAGCAATAACTATCACTATGAATCTAGATGTAAACACTGCGGAGGTCGCGGACGGAATGAGGGGAGTCCGACTGGCAGTGCCCGTATTTATAGTCTCTGAGTAAAGAGAAGAGCAGAGAAACTGAGAGCAAGAGTGTATGAGAGAAACATAGAATTTCTATGGGGACAGGCAGAGGGAGAGAGAGAGAGAGAAAGGGCTAGAAATACCTTTTTTCTCTTGCTCTCTTGCATTTAACGATCGTTCCTATGGTAGCTATATATAGTAGTATATAGTCGTTTGATCCGGCCAATTTTGGCCTTTATGTATACTAGTGACAGTATTTAAAAAACTAACTGCAAAGTTTAATTCATAGAGCTAAACAACTGAGCGTTTAGTTTTCACGGCCAGACAGATATGGCTGATCAAGAATTTATATACTTTATATAGTCGGAAACGACTCCTTTACTGCATTGCAAACTTCTGACTCAAATTATAAACCCTGAAAAGGTATCAGTATTAATATTGTTTTTATTTAAACCCCATTCTTTATGCCATTTTCTATCATTTTGAAGATGTAAAGAAATTATTAAAAATAGTAATTTACACATTCAACGTAATTAAACTAAAATTTTGTGTACTCATCTTGATTTAAGATGCAATCCCCCACTTTGTCTTATTTGTCCTAAAACGCACTGTAGTATCTTCCCGCTGAGCAACGTGTTTCTGCTGGATAAACACGGTTTTATAAGTTTATTAGCTTCTTGAGATTGTAAAGCCAGAGCGATAAGAGAGTTGTAGTTGAGTGAATCTTCACTTTTGATTGAGATGGGTTCCGATAAAAGCAGGTGCCTCTTGCTCTAGGAGATCATTTCTCGCGCAGCATTGCAAGTGCAAGCAATTGTCGGTTGAATCAGAATAAATATATGTATATATATAGTGCGGTGACAGTGAACTGAAATCTTTGATCACATTGAAAAGCTGTAGCAACATTAATTGAACAATCAATTTCAAGAGCAACACAATAAAAAAGGAATAGAAAATATACATAGAGATGTCGGAAAAGAATATTGAAAGTGTGGATCCTGAGAAGAAAAATGGTAATGGAGTGTTGAGAATGAAAAAATTTGTTGCATGTTTAGTGATATAACTATTTAATTAACAAGGAAAAGAATTACGCTTATAAAGAAAAAAAAAGTGTGTAATGAATTAAAAAAGCCATAAAACGAATGATTTTATGAATCATAAAACTAATCTGTTTAGTGTTTTATATTACCCAAAACCATAATCTGTGTTTGCCTTTATATATTCTTATTTACAACTAGAAGAAGCTGATTTAATCCATGATATCATGTTATGAATGAGTGTGGAAAATTTTAACTTAATTCTAATAACTTCACTAAAACTGAAGTAAAAAATTAATTCAGTTTAATAGAAAATAAAAATATTTAACTAAATATTACAAAGAACTTACAAATTATACATAAATCCTTATTTAACATTTAGCTATTTATTTGGAGAGTGATAAGATACCTAAAATTACAGTAAAAATAAAATCATTTAAATAATCTGTAATTTTATAATGAACCCATAACGCGATTTTATCAAGAACATCGGTTGTATAACAGTGTAACTGCTATCTAAAGTTTAAACAATCTCTCCCAAAGATTAAAAACGATCTGGACCATAAAAACTAGTTCAAACTGCGAGTTAAAAATAACTCGGCTTTCCCTTCCTAGTTACAGAGCTGGACAAAGACATTGAGGGCGAGGATGGCAACTCGAATAGTACCGTGGAGGCGGAGACTGCCAGGACCAGCGACCAGGAGAGTCCAGCCACATTTGACAAGGCCATCGAGGGCGCCGGCTTTGGCATCTTCAATCTGATCCTGCTCTTCGTCTCAATTCCCGCCCAGAGTGCTGCTATTTTTGAGTCCAGCTCCATGTCCTACATCCTCCCAGTGGCTGAGTGCGACCTTCGGTTGACACTGGAGGATAAGGGAGTACTGAATGCAGTGGCCTATGCAGGAATGACCATATCTGCCATAGCCTGGGGCTACCTGGCAGATACGAAGGGTCGGAAGAAGATCCTCTATTGGGGCTATCTGATCGATGCGGTGTGTGTATTTGGCAGTGCTCTCAGCCAGAACTTCACCATGCTGGTGGTGTTCAAGTTCATGGGAGGATTGGTGTAAGTTAACGTACTAATTTTAATGTTTAAATGAAACTCTTATTTGACTTTATTTTGATTTTTTAGGGTAAATGGTCCCGCAGCTGTGCTCTTCACCTATCTGACTGAAATGCATGGACCGAAGCACCGATCCTCGGTTCTGATGATCGTTGGCATGGTCACCTCAACGGCTACGGTTTCATTGCCACTTTTGGCCTGGGGCATCTTTCCCAGGGACTGGGACTTTCAGTTTTGGGGCTTGAATAGTAAGTTAATAAAATGGTTTATTAATTTCTATTAAAAAGAATGAACTTTAGAATTTCCCCTTATTATTTTTCTTACTCTTCAAAATACCTATTGTGATTTATTGGAAAATATAAAACTAAAGAATTCTTTTTAATTTAGTTCACAGCTGGCAAATTTACCTCTTTGTTTTGGGCATACCAAGTTTAATTAGTGGTCTGATATTCTGCGCCATGCCGGAGAGTCCTCGGTTTTTAATGGCCCAAGGACGAAACGAGGAAGCACTGGAAGCCTTCAAACAGATTTATCATGTAAACTCTCGCAAACCTAAGGATTCTTACCCAGTAAGTAAGAAATGATATAATTATTATTATTGGTCTTATATATTTCTGCTGCTTATGGGAAATAAGCCTTTAATATTAAATTCTTAGAATTAGAGAGAACTTGGAATAGTTACAGAAAACACCCTTTAATTTAAGTTCAATTAATAAACATATTTTCTTAATATATCACCCTTTTTCAATTAGATCAAAGCCTTGGTACAGGAGGTACCCAATCGCAAGGCGGCCAAGGATGAGGTCATCTACACCATCGAGGAGAAAAAAACTGCAGATGTGCCAGAGAAAAAACCGACACGGACTCTCTCCGAGAGTCTTAAAGCCGGACTGGAACAGATGAAGCCGCTGGCAAGGAAGCCCCTGCTGGGACTGGCTCTCTGCTGCTACACAATGCAGTTTGGCATTTTCCTGGGCATGAACACCATCCGGCTGTGGCTGCCACAGCTCTTTGCCTCAATGGCCGAGTTTGAGGCACTGCACGCGGGCGAGGATGTGGATGCCAGTATGTGCACCATCCTTGAATTTAGCGTCAATCGGACGGCTGAGACTGCCTTAAATTACGCCGATGCTTGTGCAGAGGTGGGTATATTTAAGTTTCGGAGATAGTAGTGCTAGACCTAAAGATTAGGTTTAATCTGTCAGGTCTTTTAATGCCCAATTATTGTGAATGTGACGTGGTTTCTTCATTATCTTATTGTTATGGTGTCTTCTCGTTCTGTTCTTCTCTGATTAAAATATATATATATATTCTTTAACAGCCCAAGGTAATCTCTATGGACATGTATATTAACAATATTATTGTTTCGGCCACGGGCTTTGTGGGTTACTTCTTTGCCGGCGGTATTATCCGTGCTCTGGGCCCCAAGCGAATGATGAGTAAGTTGCGATTTAAATTTGATCTTTACAAATTTATTAATCATTTAAATTCCTTTCACAGCTTATGGACTGTTTCTCTCTGGCACCTTTGGTCTCATTTTGTACTTCTCCGTCAGCAGTCTGATGACACTAATTGTGGCTGCCACCTTCTTGACCATTACGGGAATTGCCGTCTCCTCGCTCTTGGGCGCTGTGGTGGCTCTGTTTCCCACACAACTGAGGTAAGAGTGTATCCATATCCTGTGTGAATAGTGAAATTAATGTGGACACCGATTTTTAGAACCGTTGTGGTGGCCATTGCCATGATGTGTGGACGCTTTGGAGCCCTGTCTGGAAACCTACTCTTCCCCGTATTTGTACAGATTGGCTGTTTGCCTCCATTTATAATGGTCTCCTCGGTGCTCTTGTGTATGTTTATTTAATATATTGAAAATTTAATCGAAATGTTATTAATTTATTTTTAATATTTCTAGTATCCGGCACCCTTTCCATATTTGTTCCAAATCCCGCCAAGGCCACCTTTTCTTAAGAAGATTTCGGATGCTTCCGCACATATTTATTTGTGAATTTTGAATGCCTTTCTAGTTGAAGATCTTTGCTACATTAGCTTAGCTTTTGTTTAGTTGTACAAATTAGAGATAACAGAAGGGCAGTCAACAACTATTTATATTTACGTTAAGTAATCAAACCAAATATATCCTTATTGTTGTACGACCTACAACTACAAAATACCTTTAAACGCGGTAAACAGGAATAACTCCGTCCGATGAGCAAGGACAAAAGTCGTTGGAAGGCAGACGACATGCAAATCTCATTAACACCAATTAGCAGGTAACCTGTAAGCCAGGTGAGAGTGTGGGTGGCGGTTAAGCTGGCAGGTGAGTGATCGGATACAGATAACATCAACCAGATTTTGCATTGACGGGTTGAAGGGTAAATTAGTGCTGCCTCAATTGGCAGCCTTTAAATGGAAGCGATTTATTAGATTGAGCGCTTCACTGACTTGTGAACCTTCACCAGAAGTTGCAATCAATTTGAATTGCTTGATGGGAGTCTGGAAATTCTAAAAACCGATTAGGGAATTCCATGAATTTCAAACGAAAAGGAACATTTTATTTGACAAATATTAAATAAGTACATACAATGATTAAGGAATAATATATGTTTTCGAAGAAACTAAGCTTTTATTTACTTATTAAATGTTTTAAGAAAGAAGAAACAAAGAAGTTTTATTTGAAATCATAATGACAATGAATATTCTGGTGAATAGAACTTGTTCTGAAAATATATTTAAATTTGTATGTTACAGAACTCTCTTTCATTTTTAAACTTTTAAATTAAGAAAATCAAAAGTTAGCTACGATTATTAAACTATTTCGCACTTTACAATCAGATGATTGATGTATAATTTATATATTGAGCGAAGGACCCATACATTCTAACATAAGATTGGGATCTTATTTATATTTACAAGTCACCAAAAGTTGCCGAAAACATTTAGAGATCACTGTAATCATCCGAAAGTCTTTCAAATATTTGTCAAAAATTCTCATTGTTTTTCAAATACTAAAATACTAAAAAAAAAATTATATATATCTATTTATTTTTTGGTTGAATGGCTGCCAATGTGGAGGAGGCAGCCGACTTTGAGACGGCAATTGCCGAGTGTGGCTTTGGCTTGTTCAACGTGTTCATCCTGTGCAGCGCCATGCCCTGCCTTACGGCCATGGTCTTCTCCGCATCCGCTTTGTCCTATGTGATGCCCTCGGCGGAGTGCGATCTTGAGCTGAGTCTCCTGGACAAGGGATTGCTCAATGCGGCCACCTATGCCGGAATGATCATCTCGGCGGTGCCATGGGGTTTCATTGCGGACACATTCGGCCGCCGTCCGGTTCTCATTTCCGGCGGCTGGCTGGACGGTTTTTTTGTTCTGTGCGCCTCCTTCAGTCAGGACACGGCCCAGCTGATGGCCTTTAAGTTCTTCGATGGCTTTGTGTGCGTATATCTAACAATCTTAGTAAAAATATATTTTTCTGAATCGATATTTTAACGTTTCGATTTGCATAAGTTAATTTAAATTTAATTTCTCCCATAATTTCCAATGATGGAATTATTATTACCAATTATTTATTGATTTAATTTAAAGTTAAAAGAAGAAAGTTGTACTTTCAAATAATTTTCGTTGAGTGTTAAATCAGTATTCAGACTAATGAGTTTCTCCTTTAGCATCTGTGGCCCTTTTGCTGTGGTGGTCAGTTATTTGGCCGAGTTTCATGGGAAGAAGCACCGGCCGTATATCATGTTATTTGTGGGTCTCTGCGTTTCCACGGGATCGATGATAATGCCCCTGCTGGCTTACGTTGTGCTGCCGGTGAACATCTTCTTTAAGGTGGGCTCTTTGGAGTGTAGGTGAGTTCCAGTCGATGTGACCTCAAATCTTAAGCTGGTCTCTCGTCCGCAGTTCGAACATGGCAGGTTTTTCTGGCAGCCAGCGCGATTCCTACAATCTTAAGCGGTCTGATGCACATTTTCCTGCCTGAGAGCCCCAAATTCCTCATGTCCCAGGGGAACTACGCAAAGGCCATGGAGTCTCTCAAGCGCATCTATAAGATGAATAAACGCAAGAGCAAGGAGAGCTATCCGGTGGGTATTTATGTGTTTAAAGTTACTCATATTTAATTTGTAATATTGATTCCTTCCAGGTGAAACGCCTTATCGATCCCACGCCCGATCGCTCCGCTGAACTTGATGGCACTGGAAGGCGGCTCACGAGAAAGGAGAAGCTCGATCGGGCGAAAAAGCAGTTTAGCGAAGGTTTCAGGCAGCTGAAACCCATGTGCTCTCAGCCCTATTTGGCCATCTCATTGAAGGTTTACTTTCTGCACTTTTGCCAAATTATGTGGTGAGTATCATAATACATAATCCATGATCTAGTGATTTGTAATATAACTTCACGTATTTAGTGTGAACTCGGTTCGTTTGTGGATGCCGCAAATCTTTGCCACAATGAACGCAATGGAGAAGCAGGGTGCCAATGATACGAGCGTGTGCGCCGTGCTGGATCACAATGCTGAGTCCTTGCCCCGGAACTCGGACGAGAGGCGGGCGGAGTGCAATCTAGTAGGTAGGATATCGATTGGCCCTGCCTTCACTGGCGCTAAAATAATGAATCGATCGAACAGCACCACAATGCGGAAAGCTATCTGGGTAATATAATTGTCTCGGCCATTGGCTTAGTCGGCTATCTGCTTATTTTCCCGCTGCTGCGCATCAGTCTGGTTGCGAATCATATAGTGAGTGAGTACTGTAGCGTATCGTTTTTTAATTAAGGGATACCTGGAATAATTCGAAATCATTTCAGAGGTATTCCTATTCATCTGCATTTTCCTGGTTGGTGGACTGTATTTTGTAAAGACATCGTTGGTGACGATGCTTGTATCCGCCACTTACCTGACGCTGATGGGCATTTGTGCCACGACGGTTATCGGTATGTCTGTGGTGATATTTCCCACTCTAATGAGGTAAATAATTATTAATATTATATGTATTTCATGATTAATTTTTAATTTATCCCTGCCCAGGACTATGGTGCTGCTGCTGATTATGACTTTTGGCAGGCTGGGCTCTGTGAGTGGCAACATTCTTCTGCCGGTCTTCATGCAACTGAGCTGTCTGGCTCCGTTTCTCTGGTTGATTGCTTTGATGAGCAGTAAGGAGACTCCCTTTTATTTGACATATAAATTTTACATTAATCTTATTATCCAACAGTTGCCTTTCTGTGCTCGTTGTTCTTGAAGTTTGACGATCAGCAGGCCCTGAATTAGTGCTAGAGAGAGTTCCACTGAAGTGAAGCTGGGCGTAAAAATAAATGAATTATGAATAAATAATGAATCTAGGCAATCAACTGTGTGCTATGTGGTTAATTCCATTTAATTACATTTTAATCACAGGACCATGCCGTCAACAGACTTTGATTAATTTCTATAGGGGGGAGTACGTATTGTACATATATATCTTTATTTATATTCAAGTAATTATGTTTTGCGGTCGGCAATTAATTTGCACATGCAAAAATGAATCGCAACTCTCGCTTCGATGGCTGCCAAAGTAATTTTTCACAACAGAAGCTGTGCTTATTTTCTGGCTAAAACAAAAGTTTTCCATACTTTTAATCCCTCATGTAACCATAAATCAGCACTCGGGCTTGTTGCTCACTTCAACTGAAATCAATGGGATTGTCCTTGTGATGCACACATGGCGTATACTTGATGCCGCAGTAGAGTCTCCTATTTCTAGGGGCACTTTCGCTCCTGACCTCTAGTCAAACTAACCTATTTCTCAGGCTGTCAAAACAAAGTCAAGCGGTAATTGACACATGTTGACTTGGGGCGACTCCCTCGCCAGTTAGTTGGTGGGTTTCCAGCGAGTTTCCATACGTGGAAATATATATACATACATATGTTCTGTGGTGTATATATGCTCGTTTGTATATATATTGAGGCATGTCCTAAGGTTGGCCTGCACTTATTCCGGTTCAATTTATTGGCGAAGCACTCGCAGGCAGACACTGAACTTTATTGGAGAACTGTGAGTCATCTTGTTTTTTTTTTTTGCACCCAGCACTTGTGGAGGGTAAGATGGTATACTTAAGGTTAGACAAGAGCCTACTTTCTCTACATACCATTAAATATTTTATGTACTAAAATTCATTAAATATAGTTCTTTGTAAAAATCTACAATAAATCTGTATTTCCCGCTATGGCTATAATTTGATTAGAGGGGTATCTTATCTTCTTTACAATTTGGTCCTTCGTACAGTCTAGTTATTTCCTTTAGCATCGTTGTCTGGGTCCAAAATTTGACTAAAAGCCTGCTTAATGCATAAATGTGTGTGCTAAAAATCCAAGCAGATTGCTCTCTGTGTTTTTAGAGCTTTCTATTTCGGCGAATCCTCCGGCAATAGCCCCCGCGCACTCTATAAAAACTCACGAACAACAAATGCGCATAAATTTATCATAATAAACATGCATAAATCGCCGTGAATATAAGCAGGGAAAACCCCCGGAAAATGTGTAGAAATATGCTTAGGGCATAATAGGTGGGTTGAGGCAGACGTTGGGCGTTGGGCAGGGCCAAATGTGGGCTATAAACTAAACGAAACAAGATCGTAAAAAAAGCTAAACATGGCAATGCATATGCGTGGAAGAGTGTGCGTGCCCTGGACCGAAATGAGGTCCATAGTTACACAAGGCACTGGAAGAAAATTCTTTAGCGAAACTAAGAAGCGAATTACGTACCTCCCCAAATTGTTTTTGTTTACAAAAAATGTGTATTAATTTCTGAGATATGAAACGTACCTTTACAAAAATAATATAAAAATTCCATCAAAGTTGTAATTGAAGCAAACGTAGTTCTAAGTGTTTAGGTGCCAGAAGTGGCAGGAGTTTGAGGGTGTCAAGACCCGCCTGAATGGACAGTCATAATCATATGGGGGCAAAGGTTAGAGAGTTTAAGAGAGAGAGAGAGAGAGAGAGAGAGAGAGAGAGAGAGAGAGGGATGGCGGCTTTAGATAGAGAGGGATGGCGGCTTTAGATAGAGAGGCAGACATAAACATTTCCAGACATTAGCAAACACAAAATACAACACACACGCTTACAATCGTTCATTTGAACAGTCCTTGAAGTGGCCATTGTGTGTGGGTCGTGTCCTTTGCCATCATTTACAGGTCATTCATCATATTTTTCGCCTCAAGTATATTTGAAGCCACAGCGAAAGCCAAAACCGAATCCGAAAGTGAAGGTGAAAATGAAACATAAACCAAAATACCGAGGGAATAACTGGTGAACTGAACAAAAAACCATTACAAAATCCCAAGGGGCAGAACACAGAGTTTACCAGACATAAATTATGGAGTAAAGATGGGATTGTATATATTCGTGACAAGCATTCTTTGATTTATTAATAGCTTAACTTAGTTTAAAGTCAAAAAGAAAGGTAGCTATCTTTACCACTCCGAAGCTTTACATTCACCGTTTAGCATTTTTCTCTATTTTTAACGATCGTTCGTATGGCAGCTATGTGATATAGTAGTCCGATTTTCATAAAATTTTACACAAAATTGTAGATTAATATAAAATGGCTATATTTTAAATTCGATAAAAATCTGTAGACAACTTGAAAAGTTATAATTTATTGTCTTAAAATTTTTCCATCGTTCCTATGGCATATATGTATATATATAGTCCACCGATTCTTCATGCTCCATCTTATATATTAATAAAAGTACATAGAGGATAACTCCATAGTTTCATTCAAATAGCTTCCAAAACTCATCTCGCGTGCATATGATCTCTAGAGGCAACTCCTCTCCCGCGCACTCACACTCACTTTCTCTTCTCTTCTCTTTCCTCGGGGACTATAAATAGAGGCGCTGAAGTCGCGCGCGCCTCAGTCTGTCCTAGGGGTACCTAGTGTTTACATCGATAGTGATAGTGCAAGTGATCAGCCTTCGACCTCAAAAATATGACGTGGCCAATGCAAAACATCTGGATGACCAGGAAGAAGCTCTCTTGGATTCTTGGTCACTACTCTGGAAGGAAGTAAGCAATGACGTGTCCTTTACTGCGGTAAGTCTTAACCATGACATTTATATTATGTATGAAGCTGTTGGTGGGATCAGGCCTAGGTCTAGACTTTATATTCCAATTTTTTTTTATTGCCATGGTCCCCTTTACATACTTAGATACTTTCTCATAGTAAGTTACTTAATGGTCATAGATACTTACTATTCAGAGTTCATTCATACTTACTGATCATTGTTACTTACTGGTCATAGATACTTACTGGTCATAAATACTTACTGGCCATAGATAATTAGTGGTCATAGATACTTACTGCTCAGAGTTACTTATTGCTCATAGTTACTTAGTACTCATAGTTAGTTGCTGATCCTAGTTACTTACACACCTCTCACATCCATGCCTATGATTCCTAACTGGTTCATACAACCCCGGAACGAAGTGACTTCTGCCGGCCAAGTCTCAGAAATGTGTTGTTACAAAAGTTGCAAGTTATTGTTTATTAGTGACACAAATTTATTAACTGCTCAAACATACTTACTGGCCATAGATAATTAGTGGTCATAGATACTAACTGTTCGGAGTTACATATTGCTCATACTTACTTAATGCTTATAGTTACTTAGTGCTCATAGTTAATTGCTGATCAAAGTTACTTACTAATCCAAAATAAAACCTCTTACATGTGTGCATATGATTCCTAACTGCTTCTAACACCCCCGGAACGAAGTGACTTCTGCCAGCCAAGTCTCAAAAATGTGTTGTGTTACAAAAATTGCAAGTCACTGTTTATTAGTGTTCAAAGTTAGAAACAGATCATAGAAACATACTGGTCATAGATACTTACTGGCCATAGATAATTAGCGGTCAGAGATAATTAGTAGTCCTAGAAACTTTTTGCTCAGAGTTACTTATTGCTCATAGTAACTTAATTCTCATAGTTAGTTAGTGCTCTTAGTTAATTGCTTAGTGCTCTTAGTTAATTGCTGATCAAAATTACTAACTGGGCATAGTTATTCACTGATCCAAAATCACATCTCGCATATATGTGCATATGATTCCCAACTAACACCCCTGTAACGAAGTGACTTCTACCGGCCTGGTCTCAGAAATGTGTTGTTATACAAAAGTTGCAAGTCATTGTTTATTAGTTATCAAGGTTAGTAGCAGATCAAACATACTTACTGGTCATAGATACTTACTGTTCAGAGTTACTTACTGGTCATACATACTTACCGCTTACAAAATGATTGTTCATTATATTTTAATAACTTGTAAAGTAATAAAAATATTCCAATAAATGGCAAACTGTTTACATTTTTTATGTCTTTTTATAATTTTTATAATTCTTATAAATATTTTTTCACTTGCACATATATTAACAGGTTATACAGACATAAAAAGAATGAAAATAGTTATAGTTAATATAGTTAATGCTCTTATCTTATCATTTTTTTAGCATCTATTGAATTGATTTATTTTGAGAGCAATGCTGCTGATTTGCTGAGATAGTATTTTAATTTATATTCATGCATATAGATAGCTTTGTGCTTGATTAGTTAAAATATTATTAATTGAGTTTTATAGTTGATAAAGCCAAGTCTGTTCTGGACTTTCAGGTAGACTCCGTGGCGCAACGGTAGCGCGTCTGACTCCAGATCAGAAGGTTGCGTGTTCAAATCACGTCGGGGTCATCGTGGCAACTTATATTTTTTTTATTATATTTATATTCTTTTCCTATTTAGGGAACCGAAATATCTAACCCTTGCAGAGAAAATTAAACATAACTAAGCCAAAAAAGCATTGATTTCAAATCGGAAGACTTTTCTGTACTTGTTTTATTGAGGTTAACAAATCTGCATATTTAGTTTTACAACTTAAAAAATTCAAATTTTTGTAAAATTTTATATTTTAACGGGCTTACCCTTGATAATTTGTGAAAAAATTGGAAAATTTTGTTTTTTCTGTCGGCATGGCTAGTTTAACTCGGCATTAGATGCGGATCATTAATACATATGTACATATAATTCACTGCGTTTTAATCTTCTGGCTAAAAATATAATACTCTGCAGAGGTATAAAAATAATAAAAAAATAAACAGTGTTTCCATAAAAGCGGCATCTAGCAACATGTTGTTGCCAGCAGCAGAATGTTGCCAGCACTCTCTCAATCTCAACAGGTTGTGCGGTGCCTGTAAGCGAATGGGAGGTGAAGCCCCTGTTTGTGTGTGTGTGAGTGTTGAATTGCTCATGGCGTCGCAACGCCATCCTGCTAGCAGAGACAGCAACAGAGGCAGCGACAGGCCATGATGTAATAAGTATA